GAGCTTGTAAAACGAGCTGCGTATAATTTCCCTTCTCTATAGATTTCTCACTGTTTTTGCGTTTCTCCTTGGATCATCCCCATGCCTTGTAATCTCGCTAAGAGCGAAACATACGGCTATCTTGCGCGGGCTCGGCGGATTAAAAGCTGCGGCACTTCCTTCATCCGCGATGAATCTCGCGACGCGTCTCGCCGATCCAACGGGAGAATTTCTTTTTCTAAGAATTGCTACGAACAAGAGTCGATTCTCCCGTTGGACGACGAACGGTGTTGCGAAATTCGTTCGGTGAAGAAAAAAAATGTCGCAACCTTAGATCTGCCGACTGTGTGCGGGTGTTCATCTCCCGCGGCCGCACGAGCAACGACAGCGCGGAGACCCTACACATTTCGTTTCCTTAGGATCAACGAAGCTATGAGCTGAATTATAAATGTAAAGCTTATTGTTAGTCGACCCCCTTTGTAGTAAGTCACGTGTTATATCGGCCACTTGATCTCCAAAGGTGCATCACTAAATTGCTAGACTTGCGTTGTGTGTATAGTTTCATTCCCTCTTAGTTGCCGAGCCGACTGCACGCGTCCCCCCCTTCGAGTCTTTGCGCCCTTTCTCATCTGTAAAGAAAGAAAAACAACAGGAAAGTCACACAAAAACGTCAAACGAGGAGTCGCGTTCGCGCTCTGCCGAGCTGGTTTCGCTAACTTCGACTTCGACTAATCTCTACTCGATATCTTTATGCGATAAAATATAATCGCAATAAAGGCGGATTTTACTTGAAAAAATCTGAAGGATCTGGGACTATACATTATTTTTAGCAAGACTCATCACTGTATTGTTGTTCAGCAATTGATCATCATAATCAATTTTATACCCGAAACCCAAGTCAAACCTGTCCTTTTGTACAGCATTTCATTGGTTGGACGTGCCCGAATCCCTCCAATCATCTCCGTTTCTGTAAATACGTTTGTGTCTTGTAGAAGACGTCTCTCGGTAGCGCGATCCTCGCGTGTTAATTTAAAAATCGTCGAAAAGTATATCGCTATATCGTCGATCGATGTGACTTTCTTTTTCTTTCTCTCTTTTTTTTTTTCTAAAGTGAGCTTACGAGCAACGTATGTTTGCCACATTGCATTGCCGCTAATTACCTTGACCGTTGCGCTTCCGATGATATAGCACTTCCATTCGTACTGAAATTACGTGAATTTTCATAGTTTCATCTTTACGACGGAGTCGTAAGCACAGTCGCGCGTATATAGTTACCTTTTCTTTGCCGGTGCGAAGTCGTCCCATTCGCTGAGATCGTATTTGGATAAATCGCCGTCCTCCTCGTCATCCTCCTCTTCGTCCTCCTGCAATTTTCGGTATCGATCGAGCAACGTGAAGCGCAACTTCCACTTGTACAAAATTCAAAAATGTGTTTGTGCGATCTTTCATCGATTTTTCTTTTTTTTCTTACGTCACGCCACATTTCAAAATGTAACTTGAAGATTACGTTTTAAAATATACAATCTCAATACCATATTTCCAAAAATATAGAATCTCAATGTTACATTTTGAAATGCATATTTCTTAATTGAAGACGACACACAGAGCCCGTCTAACATTTCAAAGAGAAACCAATTACATTTTCTTCGGCCTGCTCGTCCTCGTCCACATCGTCCCTCTCGTCCCTCTCGTCCTTGTCCCTGGATTTACTGCGCGAGGGGCTGCTGTATTTGGAATCCTTAGAGTCGTCGTCGGAACGACTTTCGAGTTTCCGCTTTTTCTTGCGACGGCCGAACTCGTCGTACTCGTCGTCCTCGTCCCGTCTCTCCTTGTACTCGACGACCCCCCGATCGTTGTACCCGCCTCCGTATCCCGTGCGTTCCTCTATCTCGCCGAATTTCGGGGCGTTGCACATGTTACACTGTTGACGGCGGGCCCAGTTTACGTTACCGCACTTACTGCACTGCCAGTCGTCCGCGCTGAAATCGAATATTCGATTGTAAGTATGCATAAGCGATAGTGTAAAGCTCGATGAGACACGATAACGTGTAAAGTAACATTGTACACCACTGTCGGTCATCAGCTGATTTTACATATGCATGTACAAACTTCAAAACTGTCGGTGCTTATTCCAATAGTCTTGGGAAGTACGCGCGGATAAAACGTCAGCTTTGTTTTCAATTCTTATTCTCGTCTTCTTCCCTCTTTCTCTATGTATAATTATCATATCTATTAGGCATTATTGTACAGTGGGATTATATATTATTTGGTTTTAGTGTGCGCAAAGAGCTAATCCTTGTATACTGACTACCACTATGAGATAACTGCTGCAGCATAAATGTAATAGTTACCTGAAGAGACCCCTGCTCTTTTCCGCGGCTGCTTTCCCAATTTCCTGGCCTAATTTCTTCTTCTTTGGACATTCACCTCTGTCTGCATTGAATGATCGCACTATTACTCATAAAAGTATATACGATGTGCTCGCACGAGAAGTGACAGGTGTTCATACTACCAGTATGTGTATGTATCGGTAGTAAACAACGGACGCACAGCTGAGTGTATCTAATACGTGTACGGTAACATTCTACATTTAGCACGAGTTAGCTAAGATGAGTGAATGAGGACTCACGTTCACGAAAAACTTCTTACACTCAGCGCGTAATACTTTTTTGATATTTTTTTTTTTTAATATTCCAACTCTGCTTGAGACTGCGTACCTTTACCACAGCGATTGCAGGAGTTTCGCCTGGCGAAGTTAATATTGGCACATCTAGAACGAAAAGAGAGCCACGTGCCCGAGTTACCAAGACGTCTTAACGTACTCTCGACTCATTGGCAATAGGAAAGGGAAGGGAAAGGGCAACGAGAGGAGCGCGCCGAGGCGCGTAGTCGACCGTGAAGGAGGCAAGATTACACGTACTGAGAGTCGGGGCAGACCCAGTCGCCGTCATTCACGCTACGCTGGTTCTCGTCGTCCACCTTGCCGCCGTCCATGTCGATCGTGCCGTCGTCCGCGCTGAGCCGTCTGAACGAGCGCTCCTCCGGTCGCTCCTCTGCGACGTCGTGCTCGCGGCACACCTCGGCTTTAACCTTGCGTCGGTCGACGTCTCGACTACGTCTCTCTCTTTCTCTCTCTCTCTCTTTCGTGTGTCCCGGATGACGCCAAGACCGGTCTCTCACACGGCGGTAACGCGAGATACCCTCTGCTACGTCGCGCAATTACGCATCTACCGCATGATATCCCGAACACGAGCGAGCCCGGCCGACTCAACGGAGGCTACGGAGAAGAGAGCATTAGTCGCGCTGATGTATCATTGGAGGCCGTCTCGGCACCGTGCGACTCGGCCGATCGCGCCGTGATATCTGGTGCAATGGATCTGGCGCAGCGGCTGGTGCGCGTTTCAGCTGAACTCCCTGCACCGTGGCGGTGCACGGCGTGCGCACTGAGGCGCGTTCTTTGCACCGCGAGTGACGTCACCGCGCGAGGGCTCCCCTTCGAGCTGCGGTGTTGCTAAGCACCGACGGTTCATTGGCCGGTATTCATAGCCGGTTCTTTGCCGTTTGAGACAGTCTCGAGTTCATCTTCAGATGCTTCGTAGCCAATAACGTGATGCCGTGCAGCATCTGAAGATATAGGCTTAAGACCGGCTATGGTGTACTGGGGTGCTCCTGCGGTATAAATGAATAATTAGGCAATCAATTAGCTAATTATCTAGCCGAGTGAATAAATGAATATATAGATAAATATTGTGTAACAAATAGATTAGAATTAGATAATTAGGTTATTAGAATATTAGAATAAAGATAGATTAGAAATTAGATAGATAAATATTGTGTAACAAATATACTATATAATTACAGGAGGAGTGAGAATTGAAGAATCATTCGGTTAGAACGCAAAGTGACAATGACGTTAAAATGATGTCAAAGTGGCGAGAAGATATAATCGAGAAGTGAGTTTTTTGTAGTCATTTTCTCCTCATTTTGACGTCATTGTCACTTTCTGTTCTACATGGACATTTTCCTGGACGACGAGAATCTGGCAAAATTCAATAAGTTGCAACATTCGCAAAGATAACAATGATAAAACCGTTCAAGAAGCATTTTGCAGCCTAAAGCCTTTATTTTTCAAGTATATTTCGAATATAAGCACAATGTCTAAAATCGGTGTCTAAACACGGCGTTTTTAAAACATCTTTAAGACTTTAAGTTTTAAAGATGATCTTACTTACAGACGTCTTAAAGATATCTTTTTTTTACAATAACGTTTTTCAGATACGTCAAACGCTAAAATGCGTTCCGATGTTCACTGTCAACATTTCAAATCTATAAATACGTGACACAAACTGCAGATTCACAGTATTGGCATATCGGGATGTTTAGCGTTTACCGTATCTGAAAGATGATATTGCAAAAACTCCCTATTGAAGATAGTGGCAGACTTGTAGCGAATGACATAACTGATAGCAACTTTTATTAGTTCCACAATTTCCGGCACGAGTCGCCACCGGTTTCAACCGAGAAAACCGGAAAGTAGTACGGCTCAACGACAAATCAAACGTACTTTTATCTCCAAGTAGCACAAAATCATCATCGATGATCAGGCGCGACTCAACCGCAAGTTTTTTCGTACAATTTGCCGAAAATGCTGTTTCAAGCTCCTTGTATCAAAAAATTTCCTTAATCGAGGTTGTGATCAACAGTACGTTTCAACATCATTTTTCAACGATGACTTCTCGAGAAATTGTTCGAAATCTAACATTCAAATAACGGATGGATATTAAAATTATTTTGACAAGATCAGCGTGGAAAAGCAAGTTAAATTTCAAAAGCACAGGCAGCACAGAATCACAACGGTGAGAGTTATAAATAATAAACGAGAATTCTCTTTTATTTACAGCACGATGGAGATCAACGGTCGAATTAAATTTAAAAAATTCCTGACGTCAGCCGCGGATATGTAAAAGATAGCTCAGGAATCGGCTTTTTTGTGCAATAGTCGGCCTGAGATAATTAACTAAATTTTTTCTTCGCGATACGGAAAGAATGTTCGACATTCTATTCGTTGGCATGCATTAAGATTAAAATACGTTAGAAACGTACCGACTCACACTGTAAATGTATAATTACGTTTACTCAGGTATGCTTTTCGTCGTTTAGTGTTGTATATAGTCAGCTTATCAGCTTGTCTCGCTTTAGTGTTATTACTGAGAAAGTGCATTGTATTGACAAATAAGTGATGAGAAGTGATGCGTCGTCATTACTATATCGGAAACACTTACCATACTCTTCGTCACATTTGCCCGACAACGCTGAGGCATCATCGATGATCAGGGGTGGAAACCGAGAACGGGATATAGGAGGATGGTCGAATGACGAAGCCGCGTCTTGACCAAAGTAATTTATTTGTTTCATTAAAAACTTAGACGTTGGAATGCGACTTCTACACGTGTGACGGGTATAATATGTAAAACTACACGCTACGATATTTATATTTATAACTATATATGCTTTTCCTTTTTTTTTTATGATTCCTCACTGGTCAACGTAAATATATATCATGTATATGATAATAGAATAATAGCGGCTTAGTGTTCGATAGCGATAATTAAACCCTCCAATGCGCTAACTACCGCGTGCTGTACCCCCGTACTGATTTACAAGCGAACGAATCTCGGGGCCAGGGCGCAATGATACGCGAGATACGAGGAGCGAGAGACGAAGGAGCGAAGAAGTATAAATGAAAATTCAGCCTATCTCTCTCTCTATCTTGAGTGAGAGAGAGAGAGAGAGAGAGAGAAAGAGAGGGAGATTCTACAATTTCGAAAATTCGAAGCTTCGCCAAGCTCCAATCGAACTGATCAAAATTGCCAACACCGATCTCCACCTACGCAATTTGTGTCGTCCAACAATAACCGGAAAATTTATAATTTCTACACTTCTCCCGTGCAATAATTTAATTAACAATTTCTATTTCAGCGAAACACAACAAGTAATATCGGCTCTCCCCCGATAACAGTTGTAAATCGTCGATCAGACTGATCGGAGTTCGGTGAAAGTCACCCCACGCCTCGCATCATTCCGACCATAATTGTGATCTGGAATTCTCCTCGGCGCGCAACTCAGACATGGAAGAACAGATGAACTCCGGAGATGCATCAAAGTTCCACTTTCCTCCTGCTTTTCTCCGTCAATCGCCCTTTTTAATACAAGTTGTATCCACATGCATACACACATACATACGAAAGACACATGTTTACAAGACGTCTAATACCCGATTTCACCAACGTCGACCGAACTTTCACCAGAGTTTAAACTCTCGTCAAAGACAAACTCAGATTAAGGTTTAACCGACGTGAATGAAATCGGACATAAAAGGCGTCCTATTCGTTTTGTTTTTCGGACGCCCCTTACACGAAAAAAAAAAAAACAATCTTAAATCAATGATATTCTCATACGTAAACAAGAATATTATAATCTTCTCGGGAAATTTTTAGCCTCGATTTGATTGTATTTGTATTGATGCAAGTATCACTCGCAACTTCAACTCAATATTAAAGATCTCCCGAGAATATTCTAATATTCCCACTTGCATATAAGAATATCTATCATTGATTTGAGACTATTTTTTTTCTGTGTAGACACTCGTGTGTCCGGGCGCTCTTCAGACCCCCCCCCCTACAATCGTTATATCCCGCGATTATCTCATCTCGTTTATTGATAACGTCATATCTCGTTCCTTAAATCCTAAACCGACGGTTCATTGCGTCTTGGCCCGTTGTCTCGTTGTCATCCTCGTCGTGTCGCACATATCGTGCTTATTAGAGGTTCATTATTTACAAAATGTACAGAGCGGTTTCTCTCAGTGCACAAGGGCTCTCCGTCGAGTGCAACCCTCTTCTCCCGCCCCTCCGTTCCATCTCCCGGTGCCGCCGCTGCACCGGTCGTCTTTAATATCTTTTATATATTTCCTATGTACAACCGCCGCGCGCGCGAGATAAACGGCGACTCCGAGAGATGACGGATCGCCCGTACCAATGGTGCGACTTAAATGTAACTGAAGAATACTTTCTCTTTTCTCAAAAAGCAGTCGGGTTCGCGGCTGGGTCTGCGGAGATCGCGACTTGCGGCACAAATCAGAAATAAACAGAGAGAGAGAGAGAGAGAGAGAGAGTGAGAGGGGGGGAAGAGCAATTAAATCACGAAAGGGAGGCGAAGTCGATCATCGATCATCATCTCCTTCTTCTTCTTCTTTCTTATTTAATTATTTTCCCGCCTTATTTTTAAATACCGCGAAACACACTCGAAAAAGCATTCTTACATTTAGCAGCTACATAATACATATTATGTATATAAATATAAATATATATAAATATATCTATTTATATATATTTATGTATTATATCGTGTGATAAAATATTATAATTGATAATATTATACAATGTAAGATATAATAATTTATAATATTATACTTTTTAATATTCTCTTTGTAAGTAAAAGAAAAAAAAAAGAAAATATATCGATTTTAGGCAACGTGATCGACTTCGACCCGCTTTACGATCCACCCATCCTTCGGACGGTGCGCACTTACGGCCTAAGGTATACTAATGTACAAAAGATGTACGACGTTTCGTATAAAAGTATAATCGACAAGATGGGGCGACACGGCCGATTTGACCAAAATGTACCTCGAATTCGGATTGTAACGCGGATGTTACGCGTCTCCACGACGACATATTGATGTTTTCTTTCTTTTCTTCTTTTTTTCGACAGTGGTCGAAATGTAATTCGAACGTGCGCGCCGTATAACAGTGAAACAATACGACTATGCTCATATGAGCTTCATCATGCACTCACATCTCTTCGCACGATCGTCGTCGTTCTCAGAGTATCGAACGAGTATCGTGTGATTTGAGAAAACTTGGTGAAATCGACCATTAGATTCGCTTCGCATCAAACCGCTTTTTTCCTCCACTCATGAAAGAAAGAGAGACGAGTCTCTCTCTCTCTCTCTCTCTCTCTCTCTCTCTCTCTCTCTGTATGTGTGTATGTGTGTGTGTGTGTGTTAAGTCGAAGCCTCGTTTTACAATAAAAAATCAATCGCGCGCATCGTAGAATGGTTGCGCTCTTCATTTCACTGGTGTCAATGAGAGGTTTGTACACTCGACCTCGATATTGTTAATTCTAAACGTAAAATGTGTGAAATACTCGATATCGAAGGCCGTAAAAGACCCTAAATGCGAGACGGGCGCGCTCGCCTTGACCGTCCGCTCTTCGTTACATCTCCCGTGTGTTTAAATCAAAACAATTCTATATATCCGGGTCTTGAGGAGAAACAAGAAGTTGCAGAAAATGAAATTGTACAAAGGTATGGCCAATCACAACAAGGTTGAAACACTTTTTTTTTATAAATTTCGGGACGCATCCCGTGTCCAATAAGAGAATTTGTTTTTTAGTGGTTCTGAGGAGATATATTTTTCTATTGGGTACGAGACATGTTGTAAAACTCATCGAAAAAAAGTGTTGCACTTTTTCTTATGACTGACTATATAGCGAGTGCAAAGAAAAAGGAAAGGAAAAAGAACAGGCTCGCTGAATCGACGCAGACCGTTTTCGTCTTCTACTTGAGGCCCGTGGTATACATAAAAGTGCAAGCAGTAAAACGTAAGCAGTGAACAAACTGACCAACCCACAGTCGACTGTTCTTCTTATGATCCAAGAATAATTGATTGTGATTGGTCAATTTGCTTACTACTTACAATTTTGTACGTGCTATAAGCCTAAAGCCACCGCACACAGAACAAGAAAAACTTAAGCACGTAAAGAATAACAAGGTTGGCATAGAAAATGAATCTTGAAATTCCCTGACTTTTCCATATTTTCCGGACGACAGTGGAAAATTTTCCATGAGTAATATGTAATCTTAAACTTTAACGTTTAGAAGCAGGGATTGCAGAAAAAATAGATGATATTATTAGAAAAGCAACGTGAACTCCAAAGTTTAGTAACATAATATAATCCTGAGTTCAAATTTAGACCAACGAAAAATAAATGTTAGACAAAGAAGAATACAATTAAGAGCATTTAAAAGGAATTGTGAGCAAAGTTCAAAATCTCAAATTTTTTTTTTCATATCTTTCTCTAATTTTTCCAGGTTTTCCTTGACATGTTTAAATTTCAGTGACATTTCCCGATTTTCCAGGTCTGTGGCAATCCTGAATAAGCAAACTGATCAATCGCAGTAGACTATTATTCTTACGGTAGATTTTACTTCCTACGTTTTCGTGTGTGCCACGGTTCTAATTTTCATTTAACTTGCGCGTTTTTTCCACATACTGCGTTTTTGGCAAAAGTTAGAAGGGTCGATACAAGTGGAATATGCTACATTTTTGATTTTCCAATTCTCCTCTCTCTCTCTCTCTCTCTCTCTCTCTCTGTGCTCCAGATTAATACAAAATTAACTTCAGAGAGAGAAAAATGCGATCTGTTCTATGGGATCTACCGGAGGATCACGTCTACCTTTCTGCATGCCATCAACTCGACACACTCTTCTCCTCCTCCTTAGCGCGATCGAAGGAGCGTTTCTTTCACGGTGAATTGTCGGCGCACATAATCTACTCTCGGCTACGAGATTCTCCGGGAAACGTGTAAGCTTCTCTACATACACACACATATGTGCCGCGCTCTCCGAACGTTCGTGATCGCGACACGACGACGGTAGGACTTCTTCTCGACTGTCCAACTGATTCCGGTATCTTACAATTATTTACACTAGACGGCTGTCCTGTACAATTTGCGAATGAAAAAATGTTTCGTGAAAGAAAATCGTGCTCTCACACACACACACGCGCGCACACCGCTGCTGTTCGTCCTCTCCTCCCTCTTTCCGCCGCGTAAGGAGGACGCAGAAACATGACGGCACGTTCGCGAGAGCGACAGCCACACATGTGTCCGTCCGATGCGCTTCTTTCCATTCATTCGTGATGTCGACGCTGCTGATTACTAAATTCACACATTCTCCGTTTTGTATACACACACATATACACACACACGCGTGCGCGCGCGTATATAAGTGGAAATCAGGATTCGTCTTTACAAATGGAGTAAATGAACGGCTATAGAGTATAACCGGTGTACAGCTTTACTGCAATGAACAGAGCGAAGGCACCTTATAAAATATCGAGTGGCATATTTAGTATCCAGCACCTATGATTATTTGGTTTTTTTTTCTTCCGCTATTTACCGCGTTTTTTGCGTAAGTATAGCCCGGGGCCGGGGGGGAGAGTTTAGGCTCCTTTCCCCCTGCGGATCCTTTTGCTCTTAATTTGGTCCTTTTTTCGGGGATACACCTGGTTCGGTGCTTCTCTCTCTCTCTCTCTCTCTCTCTCTCTTTCTTTCATGATCAATGATCGTCCGCTTATTATTTACCGAATTACATGTATATATCTCGGGATTTATCGTGCGTGTGAGTCTTCTCTCTTCTCACCTCTCGTCTCATCCGTTTCGATTTTAAGCCGAAAAACTTATCTCGGGAGACGTATCGACACCGCTGTTCGTGAAAAAAGAAAAACTTTCGAAAAGGTCTCCAAAGATATAGAAAAGTGTCTAAAAAGAGCTCTCTCTCTCTCTCTCTCCCTTCCTCTCTCTTTCTCCGTGGGCGAGTGTGTTTCACTTGCTTGTTCTTGTTCTTCGACGATCTTATTTAATCGAGTCCTGCTGACTTTAGGCACCTACGATTACTATGGAACTAGAATTTCTCACGCGATTGAACACACGTACACACATGCGCACATGTATACACACATACACACACGCGTACTCATGGTCACACAGCAAATCGGGGAGTGTGGCTCTGCCGACCGCGGATCGCTATGTGTTACGCACGCACCTGTTATCTATGTACACTTTCATCGTACATCACCGCCCGATATAATAAATGCGTCTCCTGTATCTTTTCCCTCGCTTCACTCTCGCCTCGTTTCGCGGGATACGGCGGTTCAACAAAAATCCAAGATTTTATTCCAACGTAGAGCATACACAGTTGGCGAAACCGGCAAGGAGAAGATAAACTGAACTCCCTCGACGCGTCTTTCCGATTTCGCGATACGCAACGTGTAAAAACACAAGATAAGAATAAGAAAGCGCAACCATGCGTGTACATACATCTTGAAAATCGTGCGATTTATTTGGATAAGAAACACGGGCTTTTCTATGTAACGAAAGTGCAAGCAACACGACGACGTGTGTATCGACGGTTCTAGATTCGAAATTCCAGAAAGTAAGGCGTACTCGACGTGTGTCGAGAGCCCGCAAAGTCAGGCCGTCGTGTGATCGCGATCGCCAATGAAACGTAATCGCCGGTGATGTACAGTAACGAAACGAGCAAGATGGTCGCAATGAAAAGAGAGAGTGAGTCTTCGCTCAGTCACCAACGCGCGAGGCACATTCGAGATAGGGCAAAGGTCCCAAAGCTGTCGAAAGAGATCCGCAAAAGCTTTACGGTTTTTACGTATTATCGTAAACGTCAACGAGACTGCCGGTATGCGGAAATCCGCATTTCCCGCTCGCTCCCTACCGGGTACACTGAGAAAAATTTCCATCGGATAGACCGATTAAATCGTGTATGCGATTGTTATTTTTATTATCCGATCGAGTGATGGATATCTTTGTCCGATGAAATTACCGATGAAACCTAGTCGACAAATTAATCGCCTTTGGCATATCCGTTGTAATTTTCATCGAATAAAGACACGATTTGATCGGACATATATCCATTTGTTATTTTTTTCATTGGATTATCCCGTCAGATATGATCGCACATTTTTCTCAGTGTAGTCGTCGTCGTTCTTTTCGCGCGGCCGGTGGCCTCCTGAGACCACGCAGATCGACCACGTGTCTCATTCGGAACGCTCCTATTGTACAGAAATATCATCTTACAGTTTGCGACCAAGTTTGTCGCAATGTTGTTTCACTGTCCGAAATCATTTTCCGTCTTCGAAGGCGACGAATTTGTACGTACGTTTGTTGATGTGCACACGGTTTCAATGGCATAACACACGGTGGTGGTGGTGAATTGAAGGAGGGGGGGGGGGGGGNGGGGGGGGGGGGGGGGAGAAGATACAAAAAACGAAAACACAAAGAAACCCGAGGGGAAGAACCTCTCCAATTAACTGAAAAGTGCATCGTGTTCTTTGGGGAGGGGAGAACGGGGGAAAAAAAGAAAGTAATTAGGCACCGGCGATGCTTCCCGCCGAGTCCCGACCGATCGTCAAACCCACCGGCTAACGAGTCAAACGTGGGGAGGGGACTGTCTCTTTTACATAGTCACTACGCTATACTTACTAAGGAAAAACTCTCAATATATATAACTGATATCAAGTCAAGTCAGTAACTCACCGCGACAGTTTTTTTCAGCGATGCGTGTATCAAACGTAAAACCGCGTTCAAAAAATGTGTCCTCTCTGAATCTACTAATAAAGCGATTTTAGTCGTCACATTTCAACACGTGTATATATAGTATATGGATGTGTATGTGTATGGGATGTCTCGTCTCTATCGTCTCTCTTGAGACACCCCGCGTGTATCTAAGATATAAATACTCGGTCGATACGTGTCGAAACAAAAAAAAAAAAAGAAAAAAGGAAAAGACGCAAAAGAAAAATAATCATGAAGAAATACGAGAAATAAATCTACGATCGTGTGGTGTTGAAAATCGTGAAACGAGTCATCGATTGGGAGAAATCGCGATCGATTTTTCGCGGGTGGGCACGTTGAAGTTTTCCTTTTAATACGTAGCAGCGCGGGATGGGCCAATGATATCATAAATAATTTACGCATAGCTTATACATAAATAACTTAAGCGAGTTTCGCGCGATGAAGATGATCTCTTTGAAAAGAAGGCGTGTCCTTTTTCTTTTTTTTTTTTCTTTAACTTATGTACAAATACGTGTAGCACCGTGTCGTGCTGCTCGGGGGCTGGGGGGAGAGGGGGGTTAATTTTCGATCATAAATTTGTACAAATTCCTTTTTGTACACCTCTCTCTCTCTCTCTCTCTCTCTCTCACATACATTGGTCGCCTATACTATAAATATTATTTTTAATTCTCAGCAATGTACGAGACGCCCGGAGTTCTTTTGTAGCAAAATAATTTTTGCGATCTTGTATCGGAAGAGATGTTATGTTACGTTTGCCTTTGCTTCGTTTCATGCGTGTACATGTGTATATGTATTTGTATGTACGTCTCAGTGAATAATACTAGTGAATATTGCTCATGTAATGTGAGCAATACTCGTATTGTAAACTTCTCCGTTTGAGACTAAGGCGACGTGTATGCTCACGTGTGTGTGTGTGTGTGTGTGCTCGTGTAAATGCAAGAGTATGCGTGTATGTATGCCATCGCGAGGAAAAGGATGAAGTAGCAAATTCCCGATTCGGTGAAGTTCCTCTATCTCGTCTTTGGATTGGAAACACGGTGATCTCTACTTTGGTAAAAGTACAATGTCTTCCGCATCTCGGGTACTCACAAAACCGGGCGCGCCTGGTCGTCCCCCATTTTGTCCCCTTCCTCCGTTCGGTCGCTCCTCCCGGCTGATGCTCTCGCGCGAAGGAACCGGCGGTTTCGCCGCGTCGCGATTTCGCGCCCCTGACAAGCGGATTGTACTACAGTTGTCGAGAACAGTCGTCACCTTTTCACGTGCTCGATATAACAGTGTTCGTCGGCGACGCTTGCGTCGTCGTCGTCGTTGATGTCAACGTCGTCGTCGTGCTCACCACTGTTGGTGCAACCGTTGTCGACGTTGCTGCCGCTGTCGTCGTCGTCGAGCTTACCATGCTGCTCGACGCACCAGACTCGGAGCTTCGCGCGCTCGAATCAACCTCCGAACGCGGTCTCTTAGCCTCCTTGTGCACGTCGGACGACTTCGACTTCCTCTTATGGTTCGAGCTCGACGAGTGCGAGCGACTCGACGCAGCGTGGCTGTCCTTGTCGGCGCGGCTGCTGGACGACCTCTCCTTGCCGTGCCTGTGGCTGTAGTGGTGGCTGTAGTGACTCTTCCTCCTGTCCTCCAGCCTCTCCTCGCCGTCCTTGGAATCCGTTCGCTCGGATTTGCCGGCGGACAGGGGTGGGCAAGTGTGCGACAGTCCGGGGATTTTCAGCGCGTCGTGCTCGCCGGCGTCGCCGCCGGTCTTCGACTCGGACTTCCGCTGGGAGCTGCCGTGACGGTGCCGGTCGTGCTCCCGCCGGTCGCGGTCTCTTCTCTTCTCGTGCCGCCTCTCCCTCGAGTCCTTCTCGTCGCGATACTTGCTCTTCGACTTGGAGTGCGACGCGCTGTGGCACTCGGACGACTTGGTCGAGTTGTCGTCGCTGCTGGCGTTCCTGCTGTGTCTCTCGTTTTCGGTGGACACCGGCGACGTGGACGTCACCGACGAGGAGTACGAGGGAACACCAGTGGTGGCGGCGGTAGTGGACGATGACAACGACGATGACGACGATGATGACGACGACGACGACGACGAGGTCGTCGTCGTCGTCGAGATCTCGCCACATGTGGGATTATCGCCGCCGGCGATCAAGAACTCGCTTTTCTCCTCGTTCTTCGCCTTCTCTTTCGCCTCGTCCTCCGCTGTCTCGATCAACGCCTTCACAGCGTTCTCCGTCGCGCACTCCATCTTCGATGTGAACGCCAACACCGTCTCCACCTCCAACAGATGACAGTACCTCTCCAACTTGGCAGTGTCATCCTTGAACCTCTGCTCGGCGATCTCGTAGCTCTCCTTGCGGATCCTCTCCAGCACCTCCTTCGAGGCTTCGGCGACGCCGGTACGCAGCGACTGGCACACCTCTTCCACGTCGGTCTTCGACTTGTAGATGGCTATCTCCAGCGCTTTATCCACCACCTCGGTGGCGTACGTCTTGGCGACGGTCTGTCGTTGCGTCAGCAACTCCTCCTCGGGCACGGCCGAGTCGGTCTCGGAGGTCACGTCGGCCGGCGGAGACAGCTCCGAGCTCAGCCGTCTCTTGGCCTCTTTCATGGAAGACGAGCTACTGCTGAAGCTACTTGGTATCACCCTGGCCTTCATCAGATCCGGAATACTCTCCTTGCTTGATATGCTGTTGCCGTTGGATCGGCCGTGATGGCTACAGTGATGTTCCAGCTTGTGGCCGCTGCTGTCGTACTTCTTTTTCTTGCAGGAACTGCAGCCGTGATGACTGCTGCTCGACTTGTCGTCGCCGCGGTGGCGATCCTTGTGCCGCTTCTCCGAGCGCTTCTCGTCCCTGCTCTTGTCGCCGCTCTGTTTCTGCTCGCTCCCGCCGCCCTTGGACGACTTCGTGCCGCCGAAGGAGTCCGACGGATTGTCGCCACCTTCCTCCTTCTCCTTCCGTTTGCTGAGCGACGAATGTCTAGAGTGATGTTGACTCTTCCGATGCTTGCCGTGCTGGTCGGATTTCTTCAAATTACCTTGATATTCGGCCGCTCTCTCCTTCGCCTTCTTCTCCTCGAGCGAGTCGATAGACAGCTTCTGCTCCAACCGCTGCCGGTTCGTGTTCTCTTTCTGCTCGTCGCTGATGCAGACCGCCTCCAACGGTTTCTTCTCCTTGATGCGATGGGCGGACTCGTTCACCATGCGGGTGTGCCTGATGCTCGTGCTGTGCTCCGACTCCGGGTAATACTGCTTCAATCTGATATGCCAAGCGATGCTCGAGACGGCCGAGACCGTTCTGAACTGGTGGATGATGTTGCGCGGCAAAAAGTAGATGTCGTTGTCGTAGAGATTGATCTTGGCGTAGCGGACGCCTTGTCTGCGCAGCTGATTCAACTTGGCGTCCTCCACCCACTGCACGCATTGCGAGATGGGCGGCTCGTGAAGGTCCAACTGCAACTTCTCCACGAGCTCGGTGAAGTCCCCCGCGTAGAACGCCACTACGTCCTTCGTGATCCGGTTGTACTCGGATGGCTGGCCGCCGTGGACGGCTTTCAACACGCCGACCGCCGCTGTGGTCATCCTGTCCAAGCCGTGGCCGACGTGATCCGCGTGCGCTTTCGTGCGATCCTCGAACATGTACTCGCGAGCCTCGCTGAGGCGCGGCAGATACTGCAGGTTCCTCAGCTCGTTGATGCCGGTCCTGCGCCGTTTGTACGGGCTTTTGTTGATGTCGGCCGTCGGCACCAGCTGCTCGCCTGGCCGGATCCACAGGATGGGGCCGTCATTCGACTCCTGCGGCGTGTCCATCTTTACGACGGAGAGAGGACCCCACGGCATCGTCTGGAACAGCGCGGTTACATTGATAAATTGATACCGTGAACGCGAGTTTTCATTTATTTTATACAAGTTATAGTTTCAAAGTTTCAGATAAAGTTCTTCCTCCATTTTTTTGGTTTCTTATCTTCTTTACGGGGGAAAAAAAAATTAAATGTAGTAGGTTTCCTCGAGTTGAAATTTTAGTCCTACATTAAGTCTACTTAATTCTACATTGAGTCTTCAAGTGGAGAGAGTAAAAATAATCTTACATTAGTGGCACATCAAAGGAGCACAGAAGAGACTTAATGAAGGCTTATTTAGAACTAAAATTTTGACTCGGGTTAATCGAACACACGTAAATTTCCCTAAACAAATTTTGCACCCTTGAGACGGAAATCGAAGAGATTCGCGGCAAAATAGGGAAAACGGATTTTCCCCGAAGCTGTAAAACTACAAGTATATAAAATTAATAATTTGGACAGAGGAAGCAGGTAAAAAATCAGTTCCATGTGGCAAGCTATTTTTTCAGTGGCATCACATAAACTTGAACTTTCCCTCCTACTCGTACTCAAACGCCTATATAAGAGAAAGACTTACAGAGGAACGATATTTTCAGGTCGTAGACCTTTCTTTGAAGAAGTAAACTGAAATGTTTGAAATGTTGAGAACAAACTCATGATATTCACGGCTCTAACTCGGATGCTAATCAATAAATCGCGTCACTACCCACGGTAGCTAAAAATATAAAAAACTATTTCATGGAATCCGTGGAATTCGCGGCACCAATGCGGAAATAAATCACTCAATATTTTGCATCGTTTCGTGAAAATCTAAAATATCACACATAATGAAAATTGATATTAATAGAAATTTATACAAGGTATCCCAAAATCAACGTATGTCTTTAACATGAAATTCTCTGGGACATTTTAAGACATAAGTTTAAATAAATGTCGAAAGAGATTCTTATTCATAGCAACTTTTCAATTTTCAATATATCTATGTAAGTGAAGCTCAAACTTCTATAAAAATAAAATCCGTTTGAAACTGATCAAAGAAAATTATTTTGTTATCCATTCAGTCGTTCAAAGTTTTGTTTGCGAAAAACTCCGTTTTTTCGTTCGCTTGTATTTCGGAAAATATTGTTTTATTAATAAAATATCTTTATTTTTCGACGATATTTAAAACGGTGACTGCTTCTTCACCTGTATGATATATTATAATAATATTTGATATAAATAATATAACTGTATATACTCACCAATTTTAGGAATGGATTTTCCTCCAACTTTTGCAGTAGGTCCGGAAAATACCCGCCGACTTCTTCATGAACCGTGCCCACCAAGCTGATTTGGTGTAGTGGTCCGTACCGGACGGTGCCGTTGTTATAAGCCTTACAGACTTGATCCTTGTACTGAACCATTGTCGTCGTTTCTATGTCACTGCTCCTGCCTAACACACCATTCTTCACGGTCAATGTGGGATAAGTATTCGCCATATAATCGAGAAGATCGGGCAGATATGCAGCCGCATTGTGCACTATACCCATGACATGATGAGCATTCCCATTTTCGTCTTCTCCGAAAACCACCTAATAAATGCAAACGAACATATTACTATAATTATTCATTGAATGAAAAACATTAATCGCAAAAACTCTCAACAGTCTCGAAGAAATACTGAAAAGACGCTTTTCCGACTTGTTATTTTATCATATATAGTGGGGCAATACAACCATTACCACCTAGGTATCTTCAACAAATAAAAAATATTTTATTATAACAAATAGATAAGGACGGAAAAATTGACACTTACAGAAGAATGTTGATATCAATGTAATCTACGTAATCTTTGTTAGATACATTTTTCAAGATGGTGACAGTTACTGTCTCACTATTTCTATATTATCCTGTTACTTATTTATCATACATATATGCCTATTTACCTTGAAGTATTCCTGCGCCAGTTCTTCCGTTTGCTCGTGCGATAAGCTGTCGATCTCGTCTTGGTACATGTGCACCACCGTCGCACCTCCGTTCGGGTAGGTTTCTATGTGAATGAACTTCTTGTACTTTAGGCCCTCCAGCAATTCACACTTCACCACTGGATTGTTCAGCATCTTGTAGTTTTTCGTTTGTAAATTTAACCTCAGGTTGTCGTTGGTGGACTTGGAGAAGGACAAGGACACGGGTTTGCCGCTCAGCGAAGATAACACGTGGCGGTCTCGCTTGCATTGCACGCCGATACTCGCCCTCTTGATGTTCCTGCGTCTTTCGCATCGCGAGCAATGTCGTCGCTCGCTGTGCTCCTTCGAGCGTTTCTTGCTCGAGGAGGACGAGCACGTCTTGGAGTGCGAGCTGGAAGGTGCGTTAGCGGGATCCGCGACTTTCTCCTGAGATGCGCCGGCCTCCGCTTTGCTCGACGATATCGCCGCTGAAGGGTCAACGGCCAACTCGGATTTGACCGTCTCCGAGTCTTCCTCCTGCGACTCCACGGCGACTTCCTTTTTAATCTCAACGTCGTGGACGACTTTCGATTCTGTAGATTCCGCCTCTCGGCCGGAGAGAGCGTCTCGCTGTTCGCTCGTTGATTCCGTCTGAACCTTGACGTTGACTTGCGGCTCGTCGATCGTCTTCTCCTGCGACGAGCGGAACGGATACTCGGTCACTTTGTCTGTGCGCGTGTCCACGTTGTCGGTGCCCTCTTCGTTATACTTCGCCGTGTCCATTATAGCCGTGGTACTCGCGATAGCCGACATCATGCTGATGGAGAACGTCGTGTCCGGACTGTGAGGACTGACGGAAACACGCGGCGGGTAGTCGGGGCTCCTCGGACTGCTGATTATCTCGCCGCTGCTCTGAGGACTCTCCCCCAGCTGCGGCGTGTTGTTGGAAAAATTCACGCACCCTTCTAATTTCACTTTTGTGGGCAGCGACGTATGCATGCCCCCGGACAACATCGTATCGTTGTTACACGTAGAGGCAGCCTGAATAGAGAAGCGCTTGTTGAACAATGGATACACACGTTGCTGTTGGTAGTATATTTTAAGTGTGATGATAAAATATCAGCTAATTAACTCGTCCGCTACCAGCGCGTCACACGTGCGACGCACCGATCTCTCTCGAAGAAAGACCGGTGTTGCGCATATGTGATAATGATAATTTTCTCTCTCTCTCTCTCTCTCTCTCTCTCTCTCTCTCTCTCTTTCTCTCTCTCTCTCTCTCTATGTTCCATGTAAACAAACCAAGTCTGTGCTCTGCACAATTGCACAAAGAAACAAAAATATGAGAGATGGTCCATGGGAGCAGTTTCCCAATCAGAACCCTGATAGCGAATGTGTTAAGAATAACATGTCTTATGAAATTGTACCCACATGTATAATATGTTGAACAGGTTCCCTAGTAGCTTTTACTATTTCATTGTTGCAGTGATCCGGACTACCTGCATCACACACACACATATTGTCTTATTTAATATACATATCTGTTGATTGTACTTCATTTTTGTTTTCTTAATTTACTTAACACAATTCATAAACATAATATGTAACAAAACATTATCAAAATTATTTCCCTCTCTCTTGTTAGATTAACTGTTATTCGATTGATGTCTTTATTTCATTCATTCTATGTGTCATTTTATCCTTAAACATATGTATATGAAATATATATATATATATATATATATATATGTATGTATGTATGTACACCTTTATGACAAATGAATGATGTTATTCAAACGAATACAATGAGCTGGCTCAACTAGCTCTACATAAGATTAACAGAATTCTTTCTCTTTCTCTCTCCCTTTTGCTTTTTGATATGTTATATGTTAATAGAAGCACATTTATAAACCAATTTTCACATATATAACATATTATACTTCTTAAACTCTTAAAATAAGAGGAACAAGTAATTACATAAATAATGGACTTTGTGCAAACATATTATACAAATTGTACAAATATATTCCTTCGACGTAACTCTTCAATAATAAAATATATTTGCCAGATATCCTCAGATTTAACAAATCTACTTTCACCACTATTCAATTTGAAGTCCATATTAACGTACTCCATTGTCGCATGTTGCACCATCAATGGTGCACCGAACATATCGTTAAGACCAGATTCGGTTCAGTTCAGGCCAGTTTAACACTTTGGCTTCGAAGCAGAATATAATCATGAGGTATGTTAACAATAGTCATGAGACACATGTTACTAGACAAATAAAATCTGGCTCAGAGCAGGACAACTCAGACCACCGGTCCGCGAGGAGTTACGTAAAATTAGCCTCCGGCACGGTGGGTGCTGAGTATATACCCTCCACCAAAATACTGATAAGCGAGATATCGCGAGAAAGCAATATTACTCAATCCCAACAACTTTCAAACAAATACATTCTCGGCGTCACATGAATGCGACGCGGGTGCAAAAGCGCCCGGCCGGGAAAGCCTGAGAGGTACCGCGCAACAACGATAGATACAAAACGAGATTACCGTCTGGTTCTCCCGGAAGACGAGCGGTGTCCGGGTCGGTCCTCTGGTGAGACATGCTGCGCCGTTGCGGGGACGACGGTCTAGGCTCGTTGTCGGGCTTGCTCGCGACCCGTTCACCCACATCACCGGACAAGCTCGCGGGATCCGAGTCCCTCTGCAGCCTTCCGTGGCCTTCCGTGTTCGCGTGATACGGTGACGCTGCTGGGAAACCCGTGGGCGTCCTGGACGAACGACTGCGTGCGGGATCGCGACCTGCTGTTGCTGTTGCTACGAACGCCGCTGTCGTCCTCTCGACGACGTTGCGCCACGTCGTCTCGGCGGACGTATCGCTTGTTGCTTCCCCACCGGCTGCTGGCTCGTCCGCTCGCTGGTTCGTATTATTTACATCGCATCCTACGTTTGACACGATACCCGCACCGTCCTCGGATGCCATCTTGATTCCGTGAGCGACATCCCGGACGCGGCGATACTACGCCGTCGCGGATTGGCTGCGCGGCGGCTCGCGACGGCGCACGCCGTCCGCCATTCGCCCGCGCTAACGCCGCTGAGTGGGGGCCGCGCCAGTAGACGGGGCGGTTCTATCACCAACAAGGGACATTTTTATCCGCCGGAATCTTCGATCTCCAAACCTCGTTTTCCGCGAAAACTTTTCGATTTCTGCGGCGCGCCGAGCGCGACTGAGCGCGACGGCACGCGAGACTACTGGCGAGCGAGAAAGGGCCGCCGTGCGCGCCGCGACCGGATGTCGCTCGTGAGCAATCGAACACGCCGGCCACGTTCGAAAGGGAACTTTCGAACGTGCTCTGTGCGAAAGAATGGATGAATCGCCGTAGAATCGCCAAGGGGATATCTCCCCTCTCGAGCCGAGGGACGAGCGACGGGCGAGTGCAACGACGCGTGACGAGCGATCGAATTCGCCTGCTCGATCAGCTCGAGAGCGAGACCGAGAGAAGAAAAATGGCGCACGTGTGCGCGATATCGACGGCTCTCTCTCTCTCTCTCTCTCTTTTTCTCTTTCTTTCTTTCTTTCTCAGGCTGCGTAGAACACTGTCATCGTGCAATATCGATATCTCGTAGAATTCCGCCTTTCACTCAACCGTCTTTCCCAGAGTCTCGAGGGGGGTAGCCTTGTCTAGAAAGGAAGCCGCGACTTCGTCGGCGCCCGTCTTCAAGGAGTATCATGAATTGCGCTCGCAACATGGCTGCTCGGCGCGAATGTAGCGACGGACCCGCTCGGCGCGAATATACAGTCATGTATGCTGAAATGATGAGATCTACACGATTTTCAGCTAACGATACTTAAGCACGCGTGGCTGCGTACTTCTTTTCATCAGGCGCTCGTGATTGGTGCATGGTGCATGAAATAGTAGCTCCTATCCAGTATAAAAAGAAAAGAACATGATTTTCAGCTTCATATGTAACCCATGGGGTTCTAATTATATTTGACCTTTTGCGTACGCATGTAAGATTGAAAATCATGTAATTTTCGATCTGAGATACGATACGACATACATGACGAATGTACACTCGTCGACATTGATTTTTTGACACTTATTATGGCTGAGTTCCGATATTCACTAGCATTATTGCACATTTATAGTTCAAGTTACGTATACTGTAGATTCTCAGTACTGATAGTGAATATCGGAACGCAATTTAGATGTAGGGTCATTAGAAATATTTGATTACACCGTATACCGTGTTTATATATTTATATATCTTTATTGTCAATTATGAAATTATGAAATAAGGCCCCATTTATGGAAGGCAGAACTGTAAGAAATTGACGAATCACAATCGATTATTCTTCTCACATCCAACCGTGATTGGTCCGATTTTTTACGTCTTGAAACTTACTATGCCAATTGTAGATCAGCACTAATTAAAAATCTCCAAAGTATAGTATAGTAGTATTTAAAAGAATCCGTTTTCTTTTTTTCAATTTTTCCTCCGAAAGAAACCAAAAAATTCGTGAAAAAATTGAAAAACTCGACTTTCACCAGTTTTTCGTCAGCAGGAAGAAACCAAAGAAAAACCGAAGAAACCACGGAAAAATGAGAAAAAAGCAGATTTTATTCAAGCTTTTAAAATTGCACGCTAAAGATTCTGTATCTAGTAAGTATGAAGAGATCTGTGTCGATCTGTGTAACGGCGAATCCGCAGAGGCGCCGCGTCGCCGAGCCGGCCAATCAAAGCTGCTGCCTCCGCCGTGTCCGGAAGCAGCGACCACACGGACCGTTTTTCGCGCGCAGTAGGCGCGTCTGGCTCTCAGGCCGCCGTTCGTGATCACAGTCGTCGCTTGCGCGCCGCCAAATCGGCATCACGCAGCGTGACGAGAGCGAGAGGCGCCTTACGGGAAATAAACAGAGTGCGGTGTGTAGTAGTGGTGGCAAGAGCGCGCGTTCAACGAGATGTCGTCGCCGACCAAGAAGGCCAAGGAGCTGGAGGATCCAGGCTCGGGCGAGGGGGACGCGCAGGACTACATACGGAACATCGAGATACAGAAGACCCTGGAGGAGATCGACGGTTGTCAGAATCAAATCGATGGCCTGAACGAGAAGGCCAGCGACGAGATCCTCGAGGTCGAGAAGAAGTATAACAAGCTGCGCAAGCCCTACTTTCAGAAGCGCAATGACATCATCAAGAGGATACCCAACTTTTGGGTCACCGCTGTATCCTTTCGTCGCGACGACGCGACACTCGGCCGCGCCGCGTCGGCCTGACTAACGCGCCGCGACCGCGCCGTTTTGACATTTCTCCGCGATGCCGGCGTCCGCCGGCGACCGCCGCCATCTTGCCTACTTGTATACGTGCATAAGCGTGTATAACCCATGCATGATATTACGCGCCTCGCAAATGCGTTTTCGCCTCTCGATCGAGGATTAATTTCATCCTCCGGCCGGACCACGTCGCGCCCTTGTCGCCTGGTAGGCGCGTGATCGCATGTTACGCCGCCTTCCCGTGATCCGCACATAAACAGGTAACGCTGGATATACATGGGTCAAACAATATGCGTCGTCGATGTTTTTGACTCGGATCCGCCGTAAAATCTCATTCCCACGCTTGTCCGGTCTTGTGACAAGACCGTGGTATCCCCCGTAGATCTGATGCTTGTTATTCCTTAACAAAAGATTTAGTTTGTAAACAACAAAGAAATAGCAGAAATATTGGAAGAGGACGAGGAAGACGCTCTGAGATACCTTAACAAATTAGAAGTCGAAGAATTCGAGGACATCAAATCTGGCTATAGGATTAATTTTCACTTTGACAAAAATCCATACTTCGAGAATGAGGTTTTAACCAAGGAGTTTCACTTAGGGTCTTCTGGTGAGCACGTTAGCTTGTCAGTTTGCGTTAGCGATGCATGGGAGAGGCCGTGACAATTCAGTAATAATATTTAAGCGAGGAGTGGCGATGTTTATACTTTAGCCGAGTGTCGTAGTTGCGATGAATCTCCTGCTGTTTTGCAGGAGATCCAGCATCTCAAAGTACACCAATCTGTTGGAAAGAGGGTGCGGACTTGACGAAGAAAGCAAAGACCAAAGCACCACTGAAAGGACGCAAGAGGCCACTCAAGCACAGATCATTTTTCGATTGGTTCACGGATCACGGAGATCCAAGCTCGGACGAGATAGCTGAATTAATTAAGGATGACATGTGGCCTAATCCGCTGCAGGTAGTGTTACTCTTTTTAAATATACACCTTGAAACACGACGGACGAATGATCCGGACAATCTTATACACGCTTGTCTTGTAACTCGATTTGTGTTTTAGTATTATCTCGCGCCAGATATCGACGTTGAAAATGGCATCGAAGGCGACGGTGAGGAATGTGAAAGTGAAGAGGAAGAGGAAGAAGAGGACGGCGCTGACGATGGTGATGAAGGAGGAGAAGGGGGGGAAGGAGAAGAAGGAGATGATAGTATAGTGGTGGTCGAGGATGACGTCGATGAGGATGATGAAGAGGAAGAGGAGGCTGTGAATGACGAAGATGATGGTGTAAATGAGGAGGATGATCTGCTGGTGGATGACGAGGTGGAACGCGAAGGTGGGTGGGTGGTAGTAAACAACTCGCTAAAAGCTTGCGCGTTTTCGAGTAACATGCATAATGTCACACGGACATTTAACGGTTGCAGATGGAGAGGAGCCCGAATAGAGTCGACATCTGATTCCTGATAACGTCAATGACATTTCAATGTGAAAAAAAAAAAGATGAAATGTACACCGATCGAATCAATCAATCAAGAGCAGAGAAAGTCTACTGGACTGAAAAATATTATGCCATATGAATAAATCTCAGGACACACTTTTTTGAATATAATGAAAATAGAAGGGCAGAATTTAGAGGATCTAGACTCTTTCGATTGAGAACCTACATATGTATAAAAATGCAGCATTTGTTAAGATATATTGAAAGTGGTTTGAAAGGAAAGGGTCTGGATTAGATTAGATAGGCTCCACTCTCGCACGAAAAATTGTATCGGAACATAACACAAATTCCTCAGTTATATTCATATGGCCTAGTCGTTCTCTTAATAAAATATGCGACAGAAAATGTCTGCCTGGTTCTTAATATTGCAGATTTTACCGATAAGTTAGGATATAATAAGAAGCGAGATACCAGGTGGGGTAAATTCTATTGCTTTCTTGTGACAATTTATCCGTTAGGTATGACTTCCAGAACGAGGTGTTGAGTAGAATTTTCGAGAGTGACGGTTACTCTTTAAGAGTCTCTACTTTCGCACACTATAAATACACGGATTTTTACACGACTATACTGACTTTTAAATAAAATACAAATAATGGATTGAAAATTTTCTTTGATTTTCCATTAAGATCCATTCGATTTATATCTTGCGATTAATGTTGCAAATAAATTATTATTTGCTAAGTGAAAGCGCGGTAATTATACTCTTAATACATGATTCTCGGTTGTTATTAACATATTATCGGCCGCATGATGAGATCTCCACGTTTCACAATAACTTACTCATCGATCGATCAATCGTGCTTTTTAATAATTTAACGAAAACACGATCAATATTATACATTTTGAGATTTTATGGTACATATAATATTATAATACAATATTTTACATATAATATGATCATATTGATGCTGTATTGTGGGAATGATGGAATTAACGATAGTTTACTGCTCGCAAAAATATGCCATTCTCCAAGTTTGGCGAGTCACTCACAGTGATTGGCAATTCATTGACTCACCAAACCAGCTTGAATCATTACAGATTTAACACGTACGAAAACATTGTGCGAGTGTCAAGAGAATAACGCATTCAGTATAATGCGATTATTAATTATTATATACTTATTTTATCTGTTTGATATATAATTCTGTATTTTTCAAATCTAACGTCGTTGTAACAATGTAAGAAAAAGCCTGATGATTTCACTCAAGCGGTGAAGTAATATGTTGTCGTGCACAGTCTCACGCTCAAACACTTGTCGACATAGTCTTCAACGAAAGATTGCAACGCATACGCAAGCGTATATTTTGTTATTCGCGGATGTATTGTATCTTTCACTAATTCTCAATGAGATTACCACACGCAATCGTCTGAGAAGTTCGTTCTTTGATTTAGTACGTTACCGTTAACGATGAACTCACTAACGAGCGACGGAACTTGTCACGCTAAAGGAAAGAAGCACTCTCTGATCTTACTTCACCTCGTTCACGTTCTTCCACACTTTGTATCGTCACCACAATTTACTCATTGTCACGTGGAGAGTCACGTGTTTCGTGAACATTTCTCACATTTGATACATTACGGTAATCCTAACGATAATTTGAGGAGTGAAGTCTTTTCACGAGATTATCGTATGCCGAAGGTGGAGTCAACATGATGACGGATATCGGAAGAACGATGTTCTTATACCCATCACGATAAGAAGGAAACGCATAATCGATGCGAATTGTTGACCGCACACTTGTCATCATATGAACCGAATCTCATTGTTACCTAGTACCCCTCGAAGCTAGGTAGGAAGGAATCAAGTAATAATCCTCGAGTAGAAAGTAATAATCCTGGTCGATTTGATAAGTAATTGTCTAACTTTACAACAAAGTACAACAGCGATATTTTTTAATCGAACGTATATCCTATTTCTCTCTCTCTCTCTCTCTCTCTCTCCCCCTCCCTCCCTCTCTCTCTCTCTCTCTCTCTCTCTCTTTCTTTCTCTCTCTTTCCCTTTTGATTCTTTTTTAATTTGAATACAATTCTGTCAGTATTTATTAGATTAGTACGTGTTACCGCTAACATGTATGAAAAAGGAAATATTGTCAAAATTATAGAAGTAATGAGACCAATAAGATTCGTATTTTACCATTAGACGTCTGTGTTTATGTATATATTCACTGATACCTATTGATTATTCAATTCGATTGCGTATTTTGGCGAAAAAGGCTTAGCTATCCGTAGTAAGGGAAGGAGCAGTGAATTACAAGTTTTTTTATCGCGTATCCTTTCACGCGACTTTCTATCTATCAACTTAACACGCGTCGCCGAATCGATCGGTCTTATGTAAAAAGCCGTTTTTTCTTCACGCAAACGATAAGAGACGGGTTTCAAGGCGCGAGAGCGATAAAACTGCTAGGTGTAAGCCTCCTTCGCGTGCTCTCAGGTCACGTACTCTCGTGTTTGCAACAGGTGAACAAGCAGGAATCGAATAAAGTTGCCAATTTGAGATACAAGCTGAGAGAGTTCTTCATATTGTCCATTTAGTTGTAGAGACGGTAGAGAATAAAATCGCGCGGACGACAAAGAACAATGCCGACCTGCGTCAGAAACGGTAAGAAAAGTCCCGTGAGGGGGGCAGGGGCGAGGAAAATGCAAGAGGGAGAAGCGAGTTCGACTGACAGTGAAAGTCGCGACATAAAAGACGTGAATTAACTTCGAGCACATTGCGAGCTTGGTTTGCAATTCGTATTTGATTCGCATGTCCGACTGCTGGTGATCTATTTCGTAAATATTGAGGACTGTTCCTTCTTGGTTTAACCAAACGGAGAATTTCAACGTGCCTTCAGGAGCAAAGCGCGGATGTTATAGTAATATTAGAATATTAAGGTTGTCAATATTAATATTTTTTGTGAGAGGATAAAATTGTTTAACGCATGTGCTGAGTATTTTCAGCCAATCGTACGCGGTGAACCTAACTCCCACGCTTAAGGGGATTCTACCTAGATAGAATAAAAAATGACGATAACGTCAAAATGACGAGAAAGTGATCGAAACATGATCGAAAATTAAGTTATTATAGTCACTTTTTCATCATCTTGACATCATTGTGATTTCCTGTTCTACCTGGATGGAGTCCTCTTGTTTTATCGCAAATTTGTTAATTCTATATTCGTTATTAACTGCACAAAATGAAAAATCCTTTTGCACAATTACAATACATATGTTAATACAAACGACGACGGTTGACTTTATTCGATGAACGAAAGAAAGTTAAATTATAAGACTTTTTCCGTTTCTTTCGAACAAAGCCAACCGGTTTCGTGTATATTAACGTGTATATTGTAATTGTGCAAAAGAATTTTTAATTCTGTGTAACCAGTAACGAGTATAATATTAACAAATTTGCGGCAAAACAGGACGACACTCCTAAACCGATTCTCAAGTCCCTAATGTTATTATAAATTCAATTCCCCTGAAAACCCCCTTTTACCCGATTGCTAAATTAATTAGAAAGGAATTTTTGATTTCACTTATTACGTTGCGAAAAATTCGTCAAACTCGTCGTTACTCTCGGAAGCGCCGATAACGCCGCGCATAAAATTCGTGGGAGCCGCTGTTCCGTAAAATCTTCGCCCACCCGGACGCCACGCGGAACAGGAAGCGGGCCTCTGAGCAAATAAATTCGGTCCCTCGCGCGAGACGTTTAACTGGGCCTCTCTTTCTTTTTTCCTAACCCTTCCCGCCGTAAATTGTCAAATTCCCGTTCTCTTTTTTTTCACTTGATGACACTCGCGATCGTCGTCTCTTCTTCGTGCCGTCCTCATTCGTCGGTTCGGTCTTATTACAAGCAGACCGGGCAGCACATGCTGCCACCACCACCGTCGTCGTCGTCCTCGTCGTCGTCGTTGCAGCGGTAGTGGCAAAAAAAGCTCACCGCCGCTACCACCACAACCACCACCACTACAACCATCACTTAGCGCGCGCGCTAAGACGCGCCGGCGAACCTCGAGGACGACGACGAGTGCGCGCGGCAGCTTCTGCTGGCGTCAAACACACGCCGGGGATTTTTTCACAATGCGCGTCACTGTGTCACGCCGCCGCCGTCGCGCGCGCGGGGTGTTACACGATCGGTGTTGCGCGTGTCACGGTCAGCGTCAATAACGAGCGAACCTCGAGAAGTTGACGATAAGAGTGGGTGGATGGGTGATCTCGAGCAAATAGCCGTGGACTTCGACGTGGGGATCGAATCGAGTCGCGTGATTGCCGCGAATTCAATGAGCTCGTACACGGAAAAGGGAAAATGCCTGTTGTATCGATAGAATTGGCCAACCACGTCACGATCGGAGTGAATCTTCTTGATTGAATGGCAATATTATTGAATTAATGTTCTGGTTTTTAAAACGATGTATAATTTATTTCTTATTCATTTATTTATACTCATTTTACTTATCTATATTTCATTTATTTTTTATTTATTTATACTTCATTTATTTTTTACTTATACCTTATTTATTTATTATTTATTCATTATCTATTTATTATTTATTTACTTACGGGAATCGGCTTTATGGTATAATGCTTCATAAAAGGAAAAGAAAAAAAAAGAGATAAAAATACGATAAGAAAATATAAGAGAAAGAGAGAAGGAAAGAAGTCTTTTCCTCTTTCTATCCCAACGTGACGCAGAAGATAATATATTGGTTTCAATGATATTGCTACTAAATCAGAAAGATTTATTTCAATCATGACGCTGTTGAATTCAATTCTATTAATATAACGGCGTTTTTTTCCGTTGTAATGACACCGTTACCAATGAACACCAACTATAGGCAATATTACATCAACACTATAAATTTTCCACTCAAATATGTAACTGTCACATACAACATATGTAACATTTACATTTGAGTTGAGAAACTACAACATTGATGTGATATTAATATTCATTGTTCATTAATATTTGGCGTAACTTCCGCTTTGGACTTTCCTCTCGGCAATGAGACTCTTTCGATTTTGCATTATAATTCTGCGATAATTCGAAATGATAACTCGAATTAGGAATGTTTTTGTTACGTCTAGATGTCCAGCTATTCAAAGTTGTCAAAGAAAAGAAATGTTATATGACGTTAAAATTAAAATCTTTTACTTGTAACGAATAAAGAGTAACACGTTACTCCCAACTCTGATAATAATTGTTAAAAAAACAATAGTAGGGCTAACAACGGCGGTCCCTCGCCTAAACTATTTAAACTCTTGATCAGTTCCCTTAGACTGACGTAACTAACGGTTGGAATTTTTTATTAGCCTTCGACTTTTCGAATCGGACTCTTTCCTCAGCGCATTGCTTTCAAAATAATCTCCTTCTCTTATCCGCTAAGTCGCCGATTATCGTTTCCTTACTTAAACTGTATCCATCCTCCTGTCGATCGATTCATCTTCCGATGATCGAAGATCTTATAATTACTATTAATCGGCGCTTGTTGAATTTTGGAGGCAACGTGTGCCCAGTAGGTGGCACGAAAATTCGCGCGACAAGGAGGCCACTGTTGAAGAAACTCGGACAAAAAACAGACCTTTGTGCTGCGGCGAATGCGGGCAGCAGAAGCTACGGAAGAGGCCACGAAGACGACGCGAGAATCGGCCCGGAGGAAGGCCGAGACAGAGAGGGATCGTCTTGTGCGGTTGCGAGCTTGCGTCTGTGACACGAATATTTATAGAAAAAACTTTTAGTATAAATTATAAATATAAAGTAATTCGAAGTATGAAGTTTCTTACGTGCCGCGCGAAGTATGAAGTTTCTCACATGCTACAGAAAATAAATCAAGAAGATAATGTACATTATACTTCCTATTTTATTATATCAACAAAGTATGAATATTTACTCCATCCTTAAATGATATAGAAGAATGATACGATCGAGAGATCCTCTTTCTCTTTCTCTCTCTCTCCATAACTGGTGGTGCAAGTAAGAAGCGCATGATTTCTATTAAACGTAAGTCAGTAATGTATACGTTAAGGATTAAGAGGAAGAGAAATAAGGAGAGGGAATACTTTTGCATATTTATAAACAAAGTACAGGCGAAATATGTGAAATAGGGAGACGTCAGGCTCATTTTACTAGGCAACTGCGTGTTACGCGTAGAAAAGGGTGGGAGCGCGTGGATGATGGGTAGAAGGAGCGGCCCGGACCTGGAAGGGAGATATACAAAGGAGGTGATGACAAAACTGAAGAGCTAGCAGACCAAACGCTTCAATGCAAACTGAGCGCTCACCCGAAGCGCATCCGTGTGAAATTTCCGTGAGAAAGAAAAAAAGAGAGAAGAAGGAAAAGAGGGAAAGAGAGAGAGAGAGAGAGAGAAATTGAATTCGGTTCTCGCAACGCAGGAAGAGATACGAAATCGCGGTGTTCGATCTCGTGTTTACGACAATCGATGAAAATCGATGAGGGTACGATGGCGCGATATGTCGGTCTTAGTGAGACTTTTATTGTCCTTCTCGTAGTGGCCCATCTGGAGCAGCTGGTCCTGCATAATCGAGGTTCGTAGTCTAGCTAGCGACTAAGTACGCGATCGGTTCGGCGTTATCGATTTAATTCGCATGATTTTGTCTATTGAAGTTTCAAGTTTCGCGGCCCTCGCGTCTAAGTTTGCTTCGCACCTGCGAAGAATATTTTGCGATATACTGAAGGAAAAAAAAATACGCTACCAGCCTGTTCTTGATTTGTTTCATTTTCTTAACGCTCCTTATTTTTCACAGAGATTGTTTAGTTTCTGATGTATGAGAAAGCGGTCTAACAAATAAACGAAAAGCAATTCCGAATTGCGCATATAAAAGTGTAGACCAGCGACTTCGTAGAATCTCGCCGAACGGATATTTTAGCAGAATCGTCTTCGATTCAGATTAATGCAGGCCGTTCCTTCTGTATCGAACCTTGAGTTATCATCGTCGATATTTGCGATCAACTAAATTTCATTGCGTCGCGACAGCACTCATTGTATGTAACGGGCGTTAAGTAAATCATCCTATTAGTTACTCCCCAATTGACCTAGACTTATTTGCGCACGAGGAATGCTAGGAATCGCGTTCGATATCGAAAAATTGGACACAATGCCAAGGAGCAAAGTACAATAGCGGATAGATTTTAGAACGATGCGAATCATAATTGATCGCCATGGGCGCGGGCGAATTTTTTCCACACGAGGGAACACTCGCTACTTTGCGAGATTGCGCGAGAGTGCGCCGTATTACGTGAAATTTTCGTCGCAGTTTTGCGTATAATTTGAGGTTCTCTTTAAACTATAAAAGATAAAACTTCAATATCTCTTTTTATGAAAATTCAACCTGTGAAACCGATCATTGAGACTGAATCGCCATGTGGCAGCCCCGGCGCGAACGGCTTTACATCATTGTCGAAAAGAATTCACGCGACGCCCATGGTGGCACACGCGCGTCGATTGGTATAAATTAATTTTCGCATTACGGATCTCACGTCGCATATCGAGAAACAATTGAAATCGTGAGAGCGCCATTGGAGGATCTCTAAGCTCTTCGTAGAACCCATTTACGCGCTAGATTGATATATTAGATCGCAAATAATGCGCGACTCACATCTGTCATCCAGAATGTGTCGCGCGCGCCGTTTCTTTGTGAAAGAGAGAGGAGAGACGTGCTTCTCCGAGGGACCCGTCTCGCTCTTATCAGTGTACAAAGCGCGATTTTTCACCACTTCAACTGTTCTGCCTTTTCCTCCGTGGATTTTCCTCGTGCAGGTTTTATGGCGGGACAATAATTTCGCGCAAAATTCAAACGGAGCGTTTGACCTACTTGTGTTTGCCGCTACCGTTCAGTTTGCCGCCGCGATTAATTTGCAGCGTGCGCAACATGGACGAAAACGACCCGTAATGACGTCATCACGTTCGAAAATCTTATACTGTACATTGAGAAAAAAGATTGAAGTTTTGCGAAATAAATGTTTCTCGTGACATTTTCTTCGATATTCATTGATTAGAAAACAATTCTGTGATGGCGGAATGTATATTTTTGTGAAATGTACCTAAGTTTTCCTATTAATTGATTTATTTGCTAGGAATAACATTTTATTCCGCCGTATTTAAATTAAACGTTTGTATATAAGGTTTATTTCGCAGAAATAATGATATTGCTATTGAATTAGAAAGATTTATTTCAATCATGACGCTGTTGAATTCAATTCTATTAATATAACGGCGTTTTTTTCCGTTGTAATGACACCGTTACCAGTGAACACCAACTATAGACAATATTACATCAACACTATAAATTTTCCACTCAAATTAAGGTTTATTTCGCAGAAATAAACCTTATATTTCACAAATAAATGTTTAAGTTTCTTTTTTTCAGTGCAATGTATTGAAAAATAAATCGGCACCGTATAACCAAGTTTTCCTATTGTAAACCGTGCAATCGTATCGAATTGTATAAAAATCGAGTCAACAATCTGGTGTAGAAATTTTAAATATAAAATTTAGGGAAAATGTTAAATAAAGTTAGACTTTTGAAGGAAATTGAAACGTAGTCACGTATATGGTATAGACGTTCTTTCAATTACCGAAAGATCGATCTAACTGCATAATACGAGTAATTTCACGTCTGGTTGGAAGGTTAGGTAAATTAGACGATAAATAATCAGACCAATAAGCTTGCTTGTTGATAATAAACGAGGTTTCACACAAACGGGAAATTGAGAGAATACGGAAATTGTACTGAGACAATGTGAACCGTTATTTCGCGATATACAATTTTGAAAATGAATTGAACTCACCTAACCCGACTCGAATTGTCTCGATATGTCATTTTTTATAATATATAAAATGTACACAGAAAAAAAGTGCTAGATTCAAGTAAATAGTACTTCTTAACAAAGTTTTATTTGAATTAAGTAAATTTTATTTGGATCAATTAAATATATTTTATTTGAATAATTTACTCGGGAAATATTTTACTTGAATCAAAGCAAAAACTTGGATTTGCAAATAAAAATTCGCTAAGGAGTATTGGAATAATTATTTATTTAAAGCTAGCAATTTTCTTTCTATGTATGTATATTCTCTAAATTATAATTGAACTGTTGCATACTATACGCATCGTTGGTTTAAAATTATTTAATGACGTAATACTTGCATCATCGAGGAAAACGCCTCGCCTTGCGTCTCTACTTTCTCCATTTTTTTTCTTTATATTACTTGTCACAACAGCGCCCGTTGTGGAGGCAGTAATAGAGGACCGATTTGAGAACCGATTTGAGAAATGCTGCGGCCTGGGCACTTCTTGGGCCGCGGAGGGTCTCAGATGTGAGAAATTTATCGGGCCCGTGCCTGGAGTGCCGACAGTGGAGCAAGGTCCTTGCCAGAAGGCCGTGGACATCTGTTGCGTCCGGAAGTATCACGATCTACAATGCGAGAAGGGAAAAGCGGACGCGCGCCAAGGGCTGCCGTGCCTGTCGAACGTGACGAGCGCGAGGAGGACGAAGATAACCAGCCGCAGCGACTACCATCGTGACTGTTGCGAGGGCTGCAAACTAGGTGACCTTGTTTAACCTTGGTCTTTCGTATGACCTTGTTGAAAGTATTCTCATGTGCTCTCTAAATTTCTTGGAGCGAAATGTCACTCGAGATGAGTGAACATTCACTCGAAGCGATAGTGAAAAACATCGCCATTCGGAATCACGAAAGTGAACACATGAAATGAATAAATGAGTAAGTGAATGATTTCGACTTATACTCTGAGGGGATTCATAATAGGTACGAATAAATTTTTCAATAAATTAGAGTGTGAACGTATTGAAATTATTAAAAATTGATAGATAAATTAAATTGCATTATTATAAAATAAATGATTAAAAATTAATATATAAATTATTATATAATTATATTTTTATCAACTATTGATTTTATTCCCGTAATGGTGAAAAATATTATTCATTCAGATTTATTTATAGATTTGAAGAAAATATTTACTTGACAATTCAGAGCGGGAGAATTCTCATTCTACATGTACGAAAAGTCATTCGACTTGGAATGACTCGGCTGTTATTCTACTTTCCGAGTGGAATTTCACTCAGGGAAATCTAGAGAGTTGATCACGTAGATTAATTATGGACGAACATCTTGAGGGAGTCGCGTTGTAGGTATCTACGCGGCGTCGACGGGCCAAGGATGCAGTTTCAAAAGCTTCTCCTTTGGTATTCCGTGGGATCCCGCATTCCTGGAGTGCTGTCATGAAAATCTGCCGAGTACCACGACGGATCTCACGAGTCCATCAACCATGAATACCGAATTCTCGTCGTCCCCGTCGTCACAGTACTCGTCGTCTCCCTCGTCACCGTACTCGTCGTCTTCGTCGTCACAGTACTCGTCGTCTCCATCGTCACCGTACTCGTCGTCTTCGTCGTCACAGTACTCGTCATCTCCGTCGTCACAGCACTCGTCGTCAGCCTCGTCACCATACTCGTCGTCGCCGTCGTCGCCGATATCCTCGGCATTATCCTCTTCGCAGACATCGCCTTCGTCTTCATCATCGGATCGCTCGTCTTCTTCTTCTACGTCATCTTCGGAATCCACACCGTATTCGATACCAACTCCAGGTAATACACGCTTTGTAAGTCACGTACAGAGAAAAAGATTTCTTTGGGTTTAATAAAATTTCTTTAATTGTTAAAAACAAATCTGTCTTTTGGAATGGAGCGAACAAACGAATGTTTAATTCAACAAACAAAATTGTTTGGTTTCTCAAAGAAATATCTTTATATCAAATAACATACTTATTTTTCATTTCCATTCAAACATTACAATACAGTTATCACAAGCAATAAATTATTTGAAAGAAGTAACACTATGCTAGGAAAATATTAAAGAACTTCTTTGTTTCGATACAACCATATTTAATATATAATGAAATAAATTTCTTTCTTAAAATTCAAATATTATTTATCCTAAAGAAAATAATGTTTTTCTATCAAACATGGTTTATATGAAACAACAACATTTTCATTCAAACAAAATAACATTCGATATTAAATTATGACGTATATACTAAACAAACAAACGTGTGTATTAGATGTAAAGAAACCTTTTCCTCCGTGCGACATACGCTGATTATAAAAATCCTCGCAGATAACAAAACCTACAGATGCACCGCGGCAACAGGGCGAAAGTCCAAAATTACGCGAGCGAAATGCTGAATGATTACGACGCGCAGGGGACGGCGCGCAGTCGTTCCTTGCGCCTGGTCGTAACTTTTTTTTTCTCATTCTCAACGGCCGAGTGCGAGCGCGACTTTAAACCGGGCGTTCTGATTCACAGAGCTGGACGATATCTGTCAACTCATGAAAGGCATACTCTGCTCTGACATTTGCGTGCCGACGCCGGGCTCGTATTATTGTAAGTGCCGCGACGGCTTCACTTTATTGGAGGACGGAAAGACCTGCAGCCAAGATCCGACTGACAGGTACGAATAAAATAGATATTTCCCCTTTCGCGGAGGAAGCCGGAAATCGATGCGTTGCCTCAGAGAAAATAGCCTCATTGATCGCTGATCGACTTTAGATCAACTTTACAAACAGACATACATTTTTCCGAAATGCTTCCTCTTCCGATAATACATCTCCCATCGTTCGAGCGACGCGACGGGGTGTAACCACCCCGTGCCTTCAAATCTCGTTCTCGCAGATGCAAGGCGACCCATCCGTGCGAGCAAATCTGCACCGACAACGGGGAGGCTGTCATATGCAGCTGTAATCCGGGATACGACCTGGCCGACGACGGGCGTTCTTGCAACCCGAAGACCACCAAAAACAAGAAGTCGACGGATGCAGACAAGGAGAGCCTGCCGTCACCGCGTTGTCCGCCGGGTTATCGCTACAACGCCAACAATCAAGTGTGCGACGGTACGTATATTAACCGAAGGCGACCGGCGAATCGCGTGCAGCGTTGTCGCTCTTCGCAGGTAAGGCAACGAACCGAGAGACGTCAGGTCGAAAAGTCGACATTCGACACTTTTCGACACGCAAGTCACTATCTTGCAGCAATAACCGCGTAACAAAGTAACACTTGCAAACACACTATCCCCCTCTGCGCTTTCGTTCCGACTCGGTGTGACGTCACACGTTTTCTCGTGTCTCTCTCTTTCTCTCTCGATGTCTCGTGATTCCTTTATCTTTCCTCCACGTGTGCTGCAACATACTGCGTCGACTGTATCGCTATGTTCGCTCTATCGGAACACTGTCGTCTGTCTTCTTTCGTCTCGTGTCTCGCTTGTGTGAACTGCGACTGAGATATATATATACATCCCGGCAAACAACAATCGACAGTAACAGTACGATAATGTTATAATTTCCCACTTAGCAATATAACTGTTATGTTCAGAGTGTTACACTTATATGCAGAGCAGTAGGCTGGATTGCTCCTGCAGCGGCAATCCGGTATACTGTTCTATATATAAGTGCAACATTCTGCCCGGGGAAAGATTCTCGATATATAATTAGATATAATTATATATAAAGAGTCATGTATATATAGAGTATGCTTATATATATATAAATTTATAATTTATTTCTGAAGTGGTGACGCGGAAAAAGAGAGAGAGTTATATATATAAAATTATATATAATCATATAGATTTTTACATATATGGACATATTCTATATATAATTATATATGAGAAAATGCTTTCTCCGGGTATACAACGCGTGTTATATTGCATTTACATTCTCGCATCTGTGAGAAATTATCAGATTGATTTGTAATGTTACGGTTAATTGGTGGTGGGATATATTGTTCTTTCTTCTCTTCACCTGTATGTGATGGTCGGAGTGTGATCGAGTGATATAGTTTCCGACCGCTGTACGCTACACTATCTGTCATCGCAATCGTTCGCATTCGATTTTCGCATGTGATCTCGTCACTTTTACCTTGGTATCGCACAGACGTGAATGAATGTCTGGAGTGGAGCATGTGTCCTGAGAGATGTCAGAATATTGTAGGATCTTACGTCTGCGTCACGATGAGCTCGATCAAGGACGCGCCCTACGAAGCTTGCCCGCCGGGCTACCCAGTGGGAGTCGCGTGCGAGTATGTGCGCAGGTAACGAAAAGTCGCGCGCTATCAACTGCGATACTTCGATGAGAATTTGCATTTTTATCGCACACTTCGTCTGGATTTTTGCAAACGTGTCTCAAGAGTACTGAATTATCCAAGAGTTGTTCGCGATGACATTGATACAACGTTACGAAGCGCACATTCGAAAACGATTACGAAAAAAATCATGTAAACAGTATCGAATATTATATTAAAAAACATATATGATACAGAATATATTGTATATTGCAATATATATACACATATGTGTATATATATTGCAATATTATATTATATGATGATATAATATTGTAATATATATTATAATATAATTATATTTATGTATATATAATGTCGGATATTTTTTGTTGCACGAAGAAAACAATTCCGTGACTAAATTTTCCGTTGCTTGAGAACCGGACGAGAACTCGGTTCTTGTAGAAACAGAAAGATTTTCCGAGGAGATCTCTATTCAGTCAATTGCTAGCAGTTGTCTCAACTGAGTTTTAATGCAATTGAATGTTCGCACGATCTGTTCTTGCACGAATGTTCCCAGTCGCGGTAACAGAGATATCACTTCTTGTCAGAGTTTTCATCCTGTCTTTATTGAGTTGCAGGAACTAAGATTTTTCCGTGTGCACATTTAAAACAAAATTACGTCCCGGCACGCAAAATATCTCCGATAGAACGTTATCGCAACGATACTCGGTGTATGCGCGTGGTATTTTCTAATATATGCAGTTCTTAACGTTATATCAACATTAAAAACAACTTTAGCACTTCGATATTTCCAAAACATTTTTTATAATATTCGGAAAAATTATATCAAAGATTATGTTAGAAAGTAAAAATCGTACCGTTAGATCACCATGCTTGAATGATAAATATCATATTATTATTTTGAAATATTACTTTAATTTCAACTTTCTCGAGATATTAATGAGATACGAAGCGAAAACGTTCACGCAAGAGATATACACAAGATTAATATTTCGATTTAATATTAATTTAATGTTTTTTTGTTTACTGGGATCGTAACACTTCTTCCAGATATTGACGAGTGCTCCGTTCTATCGAACGCTTGCACTGACGCTAAGCCGTTCTGCGTGAACACGCCGGGCAGTTACGCTTGCCTCGAAATGACCGGGGTGAAGTCCTGTCCCGCCGGGTTCAAGTACGACAAGTCGTTGCAACAATGCAAGGGTAACGAATTATTGTACGATAACGTCTCCCGTTATTTGTCTCGCGCCTCGATTTCGCTATCACCGATCGTATCAATCATCGGGTAATAAATTGACTCGTGAGTATCGACAATGATATCTTTCCATTTGCACATTTGTCGATTAGACGTGGATGAATGCGCGGAAGCTATTCACAGCTGTTTGGAGGATGTCGAAGAATGCCGCAACACCGATGGTGCTTACGAGTGCGACATGAAATGCGAGAAAGGATTCACGTACAGTATTAGTATGGGTATCTGCGTCGGTAAGTGGATTCAGAGCGTAATTTTGGGAATAGATAACAAAATTCAAGAATTTTATATCGAGGTAAAAGTACATATGATTTAGCATTTCTAACTCTGGATATTTTTGTTGTTTTAGCCTTTATATTAAATTAAGTTGTAACTTTAATATAATATAAAAATGTCTCGTGTCTGAAAATTTTAATCACAATTTCTTCAAACATTTATTGGAATTTATTTATGAATTAATATTTTACATGAATTTATATCTTTTGTGAATTAATTACTTCGTTTATCGCTGTAACGGAGCAAACATTTTCTAACCGTATTGATATTTACAGTAAAAAATAAATTATTTGTAAGATCAATGAAATCGTGTTGAATTATAAGAGAAAAGTATGACAGTTGAAGTAAAGTATAAAATTATAAATTTACATGCTTAATTTTTCTGCTGGCTCCATTAAAATCACTATGCAAAACGAACGTCCAGGCTTCGGTATATTTGCTTTGTGAAATTTTTTGCTCATTAAATACTTATCGTAGAAATGGATATTCGATCGATCAATTTTTCTCTCTAAAAACTAGTCTTATCTCTAATTCACTCGTTAATTGCACGAAAAAGATTCTCTTTACGATCACTCAGTGGTATATCATCTCATAGTTCTTAATCACTCAGAGACTGACGCGCATTTAAAGTGTGCAATTTTTTTGCAGACATAAACGAATGCGCCGAGTCGAGCAATCTTTGTCCCGAGCCCGGCACATTATGCGTCAACACCCTGGGTGCTTATGAGTGCGTGATGTCTTCGGGCGATCCCCTTCCACGGCTGCCGGCCGAGAAGGATCTCTCCGATCGTCAGAGGAACGTATCACCGAGCTCGTTGACTTGTATCGCAGGATACAAGCCCGCGAACAACTCGGACATCACGTGCGTAGACGTCGACGAGTGCAGCGAGCAGCTGCACTCCTGCGAGCCGGACGAACTTTGCGTCAATGAAATCGGCAGCTACAGGTGCGAAGTTCCTTGCGATCCTTGAAACGCTGTTTTAAAGACCTTTGGCCTTTGAACGAGCTTGTTTTAATCGAAGCGGAATAATAATTTAGATGCGTGCCGGCTGAACACGACGAGGGCGTACCCACCGTGAAGAAGAGCGACGACGGTCGACGCGACGACCGCTACAGCAGGAATCACAAGCTCGGAGAAACGAGCACTTTTCCCATCACCAATAATAATAACGATAACAAAATGGAGGATTGCGGCAATGGCTACTTCCTCGACGGAAAATCGCGTCGTTGTATCGGTAAGAACGTTGAGCCAACATTTTGGAATGATGACTTTGTGCGTCTCGACAGTTTTCGTTTGGCATTTCCGAAACGTTTCAAAGTCAAAATGACAAAGAATAATACGATACCTACGAATATCGTAAAAATCTCTTGGAAATATTGAGAAATGTCGAAATTGCTCGTAATGATGTTTACAACAATGTTGAAAATAACGTGTCAAAAAATATTATACGCGATTGAATCATTCGATGTCATTGCAGTAATATTCAGTTATTTGTCGCTCACCGGGTAATCACTTGTATCGTTGAAAATCAACGGTGATGAATCTGTCGCGTTTCAGACGTTGATGAATGCGCCAACGGGTTCGCAACCTGTGGGGTCGGCGAACGTTGCGTGAACACGGAGGGTAGTTACCGTTGCTCTCCGACCTGCTTGCCCGGCTTTCGGTTGCGTCCGAATCTCGTTAACGACACCGAGGAACCCTGCGAAGACATCAACGAGTGCTCACTCGGACTGCACAATTGCAATCGCTTGACTCATCGTTGCCTCAACACGAACGGCTCTTATCTCTGTGAATTATTAACAACGACAACTACTACCACCACTACTACCAGCACTACGACGACGACGACAACCAGAAGACCTTACCACGATTCACGCTACAAAACACAGTCGTCTAGAGGCCACAATGTGTTAAATAACGTGGGTAACGAATTCATTAGTATCGCTAATACCATACATAGCACGAACCAAAAGTGATACATGTCGCGTGATATTTTAAGATATATTAATTTAGCAAATATTAATATGTTTAATATTTAAAATATTTCTAATATCTAGATAAAAGATATTGATCTATCTTTAATATTTCAGATATATTAATTAATCATAAAACACCCACGAAACGTACACAAACACATTCATTGTTACATTGACAGATACAAAGTACACATTAAACGAGAAGTAAGTTTGATCGGACAATCCTCACGTGTTGGGTAATTTAATTTCCAATTTTATCTAATAAAAAAATACGACTGACCCTTTGCACCGATCTAATAACAGGTGACTTATGCTTGTACTTATAGAAAGCGGATCGTTATTGGTCCACGGAACCGTGCAGACTGGGGTACAAGCGAGAGGTGAGCACAGGATTCTGCGTGGATATCGACGAGTGTTTGGTCGGGCCAGGCTGTCGCGATTACGAGAAATGCGCGAACGCTCCGGGCGGGTACGACTGTTCGCCGCTCTGCGGCACTGGCTGGTTCTTCAACACAGCCACGAAGAGCTGTCAGGATGTGGACGAGTGTCTGTTAGGTAGACACGATTGTTCTCAGGGTACTCACAGGTGTGTCCTTTTACTGCGAAAAGTCTCGCAGACACGCATGCTTCGCCTTAGAATTGTGAATTCACGAGTGAACGCTCGCGAACCTGAATTCGCAGATGCGTCAACACTAACGGATCCTTCGTGTGCGAGTTGATACCGCCGTGCAAGCGCGGCTTTCGACGAACTTTCAACGGCACCTGCCTCGACATCGACGAGTGCTCCGAGAGTCTGCACACCTGCCGACTCGACCTGCATCAGTACTGCGTGAACAGGGAGGGCAGCTTTGAGTGTTTGACCCGGCTGCCCTCTTGCCAATCCGGGTACCAATATTCTTTAGACACTCGACAGTGCGAGGACATCGACGAATGCTCGATCGGCCAGTACAACTGTGACGCGAGACATCTCGAGAGATGCGTCAACCTGCCGGGCACATACAGGTGCGTGGAATTTCAGTCGACTGGATCCGAGAATGCGACGATCGACGTTTATAAGGAAGACTGAGTAGAAATTGAGCGACCGGAGGAATTCAACGCGATATCGAACGCTGCGACTGCTACTTGTAGCGGGCACACCGGGCAACAGAAGCTATTAAAAAACGTTTTGAAGATATATATAAGAGACTGAGAAAAACTGGACAGATTTCCAACACTTGAACGTCTCTTGGAAATTTTTATTAGTCTGCCGAATTTTCTTTTATTTTTATTACTCTGCAAAATTTTACTTTATTTACGTTACTGTGCCAAATTTTTGTCCACAAGTTTCCAGAGAACGTCTTAGATGTTTCTTTTATCAAAAGTATTTAAACTGTTTAATACTTTATGATACCATCGCGTCTCATTGAGTTACACGCAGAGTATAATCAATCGCGTATGAAAAATTGGTTATATGGCCGATAAAAAAAGAAATCGTTGAAGTAAAAAAACGAAATTAAGTGGAAAAGTATACGCGTTTTGAGTACTTATGTTAATTCAATCGTTGATTAAGCTTTCGTACTATTCGACGAAAATGAACGCGACAGTAAACTTGTTCATTCTCCCTCTAAACGCACGATACCTTTACAGGTGCGAGAGACTCTCACCTGCCGTGCAACGTCCACGTCAACGACCCGCCTGTCCTTCCGGCTACCGATACAACGTTCATTTTCGCGCATGTGCGGGTACGTCTGATGGCTTTGCCATGAAATCTATTTTTTTACAGTTACAATAAGACGCTTTCTTTCACTTAAATTGTACAGACATTAATTTTATGTATTTAATCGACGTCGTATATTTATCTTTTCCGGCTGTATCTTGCGTCCGTTTACCGCGTCGAGTTACATAAATAGCATAAGTTTCTAGAATTTCATAGCGCTTCTATATATGTGTATATGTGTACTAAGAACAATTTCAGATACTTTTCGTGTGTTTTCAGAACTTGTCAGAATGAATACTGACACCGAGCTCAGGATAAACGAGACTAAGCATGCACAGTCAGGATAAGCATGCCCGAGATATTTTTCGCGGATGCATGGGTGAATGACACAGTCTCTGTCGACTTCCATTACGACCTGCACGTTTTTAGCTATAATTACAATTTTCCTGCGATGCACGTATATATATATACATTGTACGACTGGATGTTATCGTGCTTTTGTTTTTCGTGCCGTCCCGCATTTAATTAACTTTCATATAACTTCCATCGCGCTTTATCGCTCAGAATCACGATTCGCGGCAGCTGTTAAGTGGCGAGACATTTGATTTCGTTTTACGTCCTAAGTGAACAATATAATGCTTCGTTATTTAGTCGTATTCTGCAAATTGGCATTTTATTACATTAATTATATCAATATTAATTACACACATTATGATTAATATAAATCATACTAGTATTTTAGAGATCTTTCAATGTGTACAATATATAATATTGATATTCTATGTGCTTAGATTCAATGTTTTAAAAGAAAGGAGAAAGAAAATAGACAAGACAAGTTTCAACAAAAAAAAAAGAAAAAACGAAAAAATATTCTCGCATATGTATTTTCACCGTTCTCTGAAACACTGAGACACATATTCCATTCGAAACTATAGATATAGACGAATGCGCGGAGGGACTGGACACGTGCGGCGCTGAGATTTGCTACAACCAACCGGGTGGTTACAGCTGCGCAACGCCGCCCGCCCCGATCACCAGGAAGCCGTCGACGACGGCGGCGTTGCCGGTTAACAACCAGAAGTGCATCGACGGCACGAGGTACGTGAGGAATCGCGGCTGCGTCGACATCAACGAGTGCAGGGAGCTCGAGGACGCGTGCAGCAGCAACGAGGAATGCGTCAACACCATGGGTAGCTACACGTGCACCTGCAAGACCGGTTTCAGGCGCGACAATCTTACGCAGGCCTGCGTCGATATCAACGAGTGTCAGTTGCAGGTAACGCCGATGAGATACGTAGTGCTCAGCCATGCGCGGGTGTTGACATTGTTTACAAAAGGCCTTAAACATTGTGATCCCTCGTGCCCCGCCGAGGAAGATAAACGACCGAGCGGTGTTGAGCCACTCTCGGTGGCTTCGCCATCTTGGATTGCTTGAAATGTGTATCCAGGTGAAACTTGGAAAGCGACGATGACACCGAAATGACGAGAAAACGATTATTTTCCCATCATTTTCACGTAATCGTCACTTCCTGTTCTATCTAGGAAAATTATATATTGCTCAGCATTCTTGAAAAGTATATTAAAATAAAAGGATATGTCCGTACCAAAAAAAAATCAATTTCTGAATAGGGAAATCAGATGAGAACTCGGCGACAAGAAAAGAAAGACAAGAAATCTCGGTGACGAGAAATGATATCACTGCCTACCGGCGATGTTAAAATTCGGTTGAGACCGTTGGGAGCAATTCGGTGCTCGGCGGACTCTCCGCCGTAGTTGCTGGCGACCAACCCTTCTTCTCATTACAGCAGAACGACTGCTTGCCGACGCAGCGATGCGACAACACGATCGGCAGTTACACGTGCACGCGTTTCCTGCCCTGCGGTACCGGCTACACGCTGAACGCCGCGACGGAGATCTGCGAGGACGACGACGAGTGCGTCCTAGGCACTGACGACTGCAGCGCCGGGTATCAGTGCAGGAACACCCTCGGCTCCTACCGCTGCGATCGCATACCGCGCATACCGGTCCCGCAGCCGCGCACCTTACCGTTCTCGAGAGCCACGATGACGACGACGACGACGACGACGACGGCCACACCGTTGACGCCGGCTGGGTCTCGGCCGAGTTGCCCGCCCGGCTTCGAGACCGGCTCCGGGGGCAAGTGCGTCGACATCGACGAGTGCCGGAGAACCCCGAGTCTCTGCGGCCGGCAGAATTGTATCAACACTTTGGGATCCTTCAGGTACACGGGAAAAGGAACTCTATTCTCGCAAACTGAATGAGGACCGGATGAAAGAGCTCGGTGATAGGAAATAGTATCTCTAACGCAGCGACTGAGAACGTTCGTGCGAAACAGTCAGTCGGTATCAAATAAACTCGGCTGAGATAACTGAGAGCAATCGACTGAGTAGAAACGTCCTACAGGAATCTCTCTGTTTCCTACAATCGAGCTGTTTTCCGATCGGACCGGTCCACGGGCGACGGAAAACTCATTTATAACAATCGCTTTCGCCTGGTACGCTTTCACGATGCGGTTATTCTTCGCGGATTCATTTACTCGCGCTGGGGATTGATAAGTATGCTCGTACGGCTAAACTCTGTTTACAGAATTTCGCAGATTACGTATTATATGTAATCTATGTAACTGTAAAGTTTCACACAGGGTGTTTCATAACTGTAGGGACACGATTCAGGACTTTCGTAAAAGTAGTAAAGAAATTCTTGTAAATATATTTCTCAGGGTCGCTTCTATTTCAAGTCACGTTCATTTTTATCTTTCTCATCTGAGCTGGTCTGTATTAAGTTCACATTTAAGTAGTAAACGTTTGACTGTAGCTCAACAATTGTAACGTGCATTATTTTTGCTGATTGTTATATTGCAAAAGTATCTGCTTTTATCGCTCAAGATCGTGATACACCACATTTTTCTGACGATCGAAACTTTTCATCCGTATCGAGAAACGGAAGATGTGCATCTAACGTGTGAACTTGCACGGTCATCTAATGATGGTGACGATGATGATGAAAGTACTGATGAAAGACGCGAAATTGTTGCTGCCAACTGCAAGAGGAAGATACGCGGCGTGCTTGGCACGTAGTTGCGCGGAAAGACGTGCGTGATTCCCGCACAAGTAGTTAATTATCTTCGCGATCCGCGTCTCGGCCTGGCGGCAGGCACGGCGATTCGAACACGGGGGGAATTTTTCAGATGCGTCTCCAGAGTGATCTGCCCGCCCGGCTACGCTTTAGACCCGGTGTCCGGGCAACATTGCCTCGACATAGACGAATGTCGCGAAGGTACCCACGAGTGCGTCAAGGGCCAGATCTGCGAGAACCGACCAGGCGGCTATCACTGCCTCTGTCCGCCGGGATACGTTGACGGGCCCAACAACGACTGCGTCGACATCGACGAGTGCAGTGTTTACGGCTCTCGCATATGCGGGCTGAACAGCCGCTGCGAGAACACCGCTGGCTCATTCAGGTGCCTGTGCGACGAAGGCTTCGAGAACAGCAGAGGTACCGGCCCTTGTCAGGTGAGTTTTTTTTCACGCTCGATCGTTCTAAGGGGATTTTCTCATTCGGAATGTTTCATCTAGGAGAATTTTTCGGAAGTAACTATCGGACACAATTCTGAAGTTTTGCGTAAATATTTACCTATGCTTCAGCTGGATAATTTCTAGGTGTTATTTTTCATATTAATAAAGTTACAAATAATTTTGCTAGTGCTGAGCGCGAAAGGTTGACGACAACGATTCCGGACGTTATTAAAACGGTAAAAAAAATTATGAAACTATAAACTCGTGGCTACCGTCCCTACCAAGTCAATATCCTTGATATTTCGATTTTTTAAGGACTCCTAAATAAGTTGGCCAAGAATCGATTCGAAAATCGTTTTAAGTGAGAACGCCCTTTAAAGTTTCAGCGTGTACAATTTTATGATTGGAACGTCGTGGGACTGTGTTGTCTCTCATGAATGGGATTACGTTTTCCGCAGGACATCGACGAGTGCGAGCGCATCCCGGGACTTTGTCAGCACGTGTGCCTGAACGTCTGGGGCAGTTACAGGTGCGGATGCAACGGTGGATTCAGATTGAACGCCGACAATCGATCCTGCAGCGACGTGGACGAGTGTACGGAATTCAAGGATAATAATCTCTGCATCGGTATCTGTGACAACACGCCGGGGAGTTACGCGTGCAAGTGTCCCGATGGATACCGGCTCGGCACCGATGGTCGAACATGTCAAGGTTGTACTTCTTCTCTTCGGCGTCCAGGGTTGTGGGAGGAAGTTACTTTTGAAAAATAATCACCACTGTGTACTATCTCCGGATAGTACAAATTTCCAAAAGAGATCCAATACTCCCTACTCTTTTAGACATTTTTTCAGACTTTTAAGGAATTCGTGTTTGAGTTATTTTTGAAAAGGCGGATGCGTCTGGCAAGAAGAACTAATTGCTACTGTAGCAAAACATGCCGTTGCGACAGCAATAACATATAATTGGCATAATTATCAATTAACATTCTTCACAAATCCTTTTGCTTTTACCGTAGTAACGAACAATTTACCGTGCTACCAGAGAGAATTCTTCTCCGTGTCGGAGAGTCGCGTATCGCTGCACGGGAACGCTAATGGCGCGGATCGATAACACGATTATGCGAAAGTTAATTGGGGGGCGGGGGGAGGAGGGGGCGGAGAGCGAGAGTGAGCGTCCGCTTAACGTGTTGTTAGTCACGGTGTGGTAATTCCGCTCGCGAGCGTGGTGGCACGCGTTCCACCTACTTTGTCCGGCGGTTGAAGCGGCGCGATTTGTACTTGACCCGTTTGCCGTGCGCGAACTGGAGCATCGTTCCGCTGGGGGTCACCGGCGCTCCATCTCCTCCCGCAATCTCCTCAATCTCGGACAATCACGGCATCGTCGTAGCCACGGTCACGATTTTGCCACGCGCTACTACGAACCTAATTGGCTGCTCCTCTGTTCGCAGACATCAACGAGTGCGCGGCCGGCAAGGTCTGCAGGGATTCGGACGAGACATGCCACAACACAAGGGGCAGCTACCGCTGCAACAGGATCAACTGTCCCGCGGGATATCATCGGGACCCCATGAAAAAAAAGTAATGATCACAAAGCGTGATATTCGCATCGCTCCGATTCCAATGATTGATTTTGAGGTTTTCACACTGAGAAAGATATCCGATTAAATATGATCGGATAGACCAATTAAGAAGTAACAAACGCGGATATATCCGGTCGAGTCGTGCCTTAATTCGATGAAAATTATAATGGATGTACCAAAGGCAGGCTAATTTTCCGATTAGATTTCATCGGTGACTTTTTGGTAATTGATGGTTTCGTCGGATACTTCACTGGATAAAGGTATCTTGTCACTTGATCGGACAATAAAAATAACAGTCATATGTATTGTTTCATCGGTCTATCCGGTGGGGATTTTTCTCAGTGCAAACCTCCCTCCCAGGTAGAACAGGAAATCACGATGGCGTCAAAGTGAAATAAGAAAATGACTAATAATTCGATCATAATTTCACTTTTCGATCATAATTCGCTTACTTTCTCGTCATTTTGATATTATCGGGATCTTTTGTTCTACTTGAGTTAATTCCTCTCACGGTTGTCTCGATGACGTGAGAAGATATATAAAATTCTCACGAAGTGTATCGAAGCAAAAAGGTGTGTCCATGAAATGATAAGAACGGATTTATAAATTATTCCAGAACTTTTTTCCTTTTGCTCGAATAATCAATAAACGACTATAGAATTAACATAACATGTGGCCCACTTTCTAACTAGTAAGAGATTCTTGCAAACTACGTTGAAGTAAAAGAATATATTCGTAAAATGTCGATTAAACAGATCAGTAAAATATATACAAAATTTCATTATTATGTTTAAAATATTCTGAAAACTTTCGTGTTGCATTAATAATTAATAAACAGCCGCGTGATTTTGTCACGTTAATTTTACAACCGTGTATTAATCAGCGGAATAAAAGTTTTTTTCTGGAATGTCTTACGATTCTGCTCGACCGATCGCGAAGGTCGTTATATGGACATATCTTTTTATCTCAATATATTCCGCATTCTAAATTTTATACGTGTATTTTCTCGTTTCTGACATCATTAATCAATTAAAGCAACTCTGAACGCAGGTGGTTGCTGATTAAAAATAATTACCGATTTATAAATAATTGTTTTGATTATTAATTATACAACCAATAATTTATTTGTAATTATAAGTTTATAAATACCCATAGAATGATAATTATCTACAGAATAATTGGTAATCACCTGAGTATGTAATTTTAATTGATATCAAACTGTTATTAAACGTATAATAGCAGAGCGTTGTAATTGAGCTCGAGTAAACACCAACTAATAGTAACATTCATCAATATTATATAAGTTCAATATAACATACGTGGTACATATAACAATTATATTATATTGAGTGGGTATTGTAATACCATTATTAGTTGTTTACTAAGGCACGCAATAAGATTCAAGTTTAATTCGTGTGTGAAATCAATTGCGCTAACAAATCTTCAGTCTTTGGGCCATTTTTAATGAATCACACGTAAATGATCGATGAAGCATCGAAAGTGTATATTATGAATCGAAAAAATTTTTAATATTAAATACATAATTGATTCTACATGCGAATTAAACTTATATCTTACTTAAGTAAAATGTTTAATTTTAATTTTTAATTTTTAATTTTAATCTTAATTTTTTTTTTAATTTTTGGGTTTCTTGATTTTCAATTTAAGAGTTTATTCCCAGATAGACGAAAATGCTGGACATAATACGCAAACATTTAATGTGCACTTTGTGATATCATTGCAAAATCACAACGTGTTTAAAATATGCTTGTTTTAAGAAATATTCATCTATTTCGCCATCATTTTAATCAAAATATTGACTTCTTATTACCACCCAGGCAACATGATGTCCAAAATCGTGACATATGACGTCTTATGTCCCGATTTTAGATATTACGTTGTTTGGGTGCAATAATTTCAGATTAATTGCGTTTTCTTTCAGGTAAAATAAGTAGCAATTTTCGTAACACCAGATGATTTCTTTTATACTACAATGTACTGACAAAATTCTTATTGCATGCTGCATCTTCGCATTTTAATCACGATGCGAGGAAATATAACAAAATATGTTTATCTGGGTTTTATGAAAACTTTTCTTACTAAACCGTTCGTCGTTTCAGCCGTTGCGTGCGCGCTGTTAAGTCTTGCCCGTGGGGTGACCTGGCCTGTATTCGCTTGCCGTTGCATTACTCCTACAACTTCATCACCTTCGTGAGCATGTTTCCGATTCCGAACACCGGCCAGCTGGAGTTGTTCACCATGAGAAGCAATCACCATCCGGACTCGTCGATACAGTTCACCATGGCGTTGATGGACGTGCGCGCGGCACCTGGCGTTATGCGCGCCACCGAGTCCTGCTTCAGCCTGAGGAAACCGTCACATTCTCAGGCGGTGTTGGTGCTGACGCGCAGCATCCCAGGGCCGCAGGATATCGAGCTGGACCTCAGCATGGAGATCTATCACGACAACAAGTTCGTCGGCAGCGCCGTCGCCAAGATCATCATCTTCGTCTCCCAGTACGAGTTCTGAGCGGATTCTCTCTGAGGACGAGGGCGCAGGATGAAACGATAAGGATAAAAATCGTGGAACGAAGCGATATAATTTAGTGCAGCCGATCCTCCTCTCTTCCTGCTCTTCTCCTGTCCTCTCGTGTGATTAACACGTTGATTGCCGTGTTGAGTTCCTCCGATTATGCGATTAGACGTCTTTTAGAAATACTGCCTGGGTATTTCTCTATTGGTCGTACAAGCGATTTTCCAAATGCACTTACAAATGGGCAACACATTGCATCAATAGGTCTGTTTTTTTAACTGAACTGTTGTTGCATTGGAACTTCGTCCCTTTCCCTTTCAACGCTAGGTTAGATACTTGTTTCGCTCTAACGGCAAAAAGGACAGCCTAGCTCAGCTCAAAAGAACAGACCTAATGTTATAATTTTCTACTCATGAACGTATCCGTTATGTACGACGTGTGTTACATCCCACTCTTCCATTGTTGAGGTACTTGATGTTCCCTGGATAATTACACTTCGCTATTATATAACCCAATGAGACGCGGTAATATCATAGAGAGTCGGCCACCAGTGACCGTCACGGCATTCAAAGTGTTCATTTCCAGCTTCTTCCACGGCTACAATCGAGAAGGTTAAAAGCAGGAAGAGTATCGCACATGTATCTCTTATGTGTTACATCATCGAATATAGTACCGTTCACTTTGGAACGATGATTTCTCGAAAGACAGAAAATATCCTCAAATTTTAACGATCGCGTACGTGACGTAAAATCTGTTTACTCGAAGAATACGAATCTTTTTTTCTTTTTCCAAGGAATGTAAGGAATACATAAGACGCGCAATCTTTCGAGCGATGTACGTTAAGTTCAATAGCATGGACACTTATTTTTTTTTTCTCCGCCCGTCTTTGAGGAAAGCCAAATATTGAATTAAATATCGTACGTATTGTTAGCGTATCAGAAAAATAGCTGTGTAAAAACCGAATTTTCAATGTACATATAGATTCTTGTAAGTTAAGTCGCACGCAAAGGACACACAGAGCATGAAATAAAAACTTACGTCGGACATAGCGCATTAGACTTGAAATAATGACCTCGAACACACATGCACACACACACACACACACACCTGTGGTACTTTATGAAAAATGTAGTTTTTATTCAATGTCTCGCTAACGACACTCTTCTCCCTCTAACTTACACGATGCGCTCTCTTCGTCATAATTGAAACAGCGCCTATATTGCTTCGAATCTAACGCTTTATTCCTCCTTCGTGGAAGACAAACAAAGCGGAAAATATCTGAGATCCTTAGTGTTAATCGCTGCCTCGTTGTATGAAACGCGCGCGCACAATCGTGAAATGCGATATAAAATTCCGATAAAAAATAAAATATAATAATAATAATAATAATATCACTGCACTCGGTGATCGTGACGGTAGTCTTCGGACGCGATGCAGCGGATTGCTTCGTGTAATGTATACGAGTGCGCCCAAACGCGCGATGCTAATCGTAATAATTGCCATTACTGCTAATGAATAATTAATACTTGTACTAAAGATAATTGCAATCACTGTCGTGACAATAGTATCGTCAGTTACGTGTCAATAGCGATAGCAGCAATATATTCATGTATAATATATATATATAATTATTATAATAATATTAATAATTATATATGATAATATATAGTAATAGAGTAATAACAATAATAATAGAGCTAGCGATAACTATAATATTGGCGTTAATATACACGATAACAGGAAGTAGAACTTCTAACGAGACGCGTCGCATCGCTCCCTGAAAAATGCATAGGGGGAAGGGGGGAGGGGTCGAGGCGGGAATTCCCGACGGGCGACGCGGCTCGCGAATCCCATCGACGACGACGTCGACAGCTAAAAGAAGCGTTCGCGCGCCACCGCAGCAACAAGTAAACAACGCACGATGAACTCTCAACAAGTGTGTAGACGCGTGCGCGTAAACGCAACTAATAAATAGTGCTATCAACTACAAACGTAACAGCCTGGAGATACACAGTATTAGCAACGCGTTACTACGGCGTTAACAACGATGGCAGTGAGACACTCGTCGCTCTTAAATCTAGATACGTGAAAAAGGAGCGTGACTAGGATTGCTAAAAATTTTTCTTCGTTTTCCTCTCTTTTCTTCCTTCTTTGCCGGGCCTTCCTGCAACTCTCGCACACCGCAGCAACACAGTGAGGCGTTGCCGTGGCCGGTTTTTAAGTACTCGACGACGAACCCTATCAAAAGACCGCGCGACGACGAATTCTCACGTTCATATTTATGATAGAATGTGTGTATATATATATATGTATATATATATGACGCACACATATCACATTAGACGAAACCAAAAATCGGCCGGGAAAATCCTAAAAAAATTGGTCTGTGAGAAACAACACACGGTAGACACAGGACACGCTACATCCGCTTTCACGCGCACTACCGACAGACGCGTTTCGACGACTCTTCGCGCGCACACACACATACACACATACACACATACATTTCCAGATCGCGTCAGATCCAGTTTCAGTAACAATCTTACAAGTATCACAAATATCTTGCTTTCCCTTTTCTCTCTATCTCCCTCACGAACAACAACAAATAGTCCGAAGAACACCTCGAGAGATCGGAGAACGTGCGAAGAATCGAAACTTCCTTCGGATATATTATTAGATTCATGTTTTTTTTTTGTTTCGTGTTGGTCGCGTTTTCTTACTCCCTACGAGATTCAAAGACTCTTTCTGTCTCTCTCTCTCTCTCCCGGATATAATCGAAGGTTTACAGGCAACACGGTGTCTTAACAACGAATCGTGGGACAATGGAGCTTGGATTTCGTTAACATCGTGTTTATTCAGCGGGGCATATATATTTTTGTACGTGAAAAATGTTCATCGTTTCGAACGATAGGACTTTGTGCGCGCAAAGTAACACGCGATCGAATGTAATAAAACTGTCGGATGATCGAACACTCGATTTAACGCCCGACGGAAACTAATCTACCGAATGTGTCGATCTTACTTACTCGATATAGGCACTGAACTAGAGAGATCTGCGCCACGACGAAATAAATACATTAGCGACTGTGCCTACCTATTTAATGGAGGTAGTAACAATGTTGTCGACACTCGTACTCGCGATACCCGGCTCACATTCCTTACCGATGAAAAGCGTCACCGAACGCGATTTATCCCGGCCCGTTCTTTTCAGTTGGGGCTGGTCGCACTGGTTCAAGAAATTTACGCGCACACACCGAAGCACGAGAGTCTCGTACGTACGCTTCATACGTACTCCAATGCGTACGTACACGTCGTGAATCAGCGCAGCCAGTTCAGCTAGAAAGAACAGACTGATTCTATCTTATCGATTCTTTCGTCTCTAATCGACCACGACGTTCGCATTGATCTCTCGACATCTCGGCGGATTCCTCGAGTTACTCTTGCACGAGGAGTAAGAGGAGTCTCCGTTGAAATGAAAATCCGCGAATTTCCGCGCGACGGGTCGCCGACGGTGTGCGTAGAAATAAGCGCGTCGGCTTTCGGCTCTCCCCGTTCGCAAATGCTATTTCGGCGGCGGCCGGCCGGTGCCCTCTGACTTCTTTCGCGAGAACAACAACACACAAGCTCGTTAATCCCAACGGAAGCGCTCGCAGCGGCTCTTTTCGCGTGTGTGACACGCCTTCTCGGGCAAACGCGTGACGTGTTCTTATTTACGACCTCTCTCCCGAGAAATGCGCGTAACGGTATGTACCGTGACGCGCCGCCGCGGCTACTGCAACTCCGCTGAACCGGGGGGGTCCGAATGCTTCTTTTTTCTCTCTCTCTCTCTCTCTTTCTGTCATTTCCTCCTCGTCTCGTAATAGTTACGTTCCGTAATGGCCGACGATTACTCCTCGGGGAATTGTACAACCGTCGGAATCCGAGCGGGAAGAGGTCGCCCGGATGAGAGCTCGAAATCAGATATATCTGCGAGAGATGATACCGTCCGGCCGTCTTTCTCCTTCCTTCGGTTTTCAGCGTCGGAGGGAATGGCGCGTTCCGCGGGAATTCACCGGCGGTCAGGCGATCGTGTTGTTGTCTAGCTCGGCGAACTCGCGCGTCACTTTGCAGACGTAGTACAGCCGCTCGTAGAGGTCCGGGGTGCAGCCGAGGTCACGCAGATCGTTCAGCCAATAAGAGGACGCGTGCCGGCCAGTGTCGATGTAAGTGATCAGGTATCCCCTACCCGGCGACTCCTGCGACACCACCATCTTCGTGTGGTCGACGAAGAAGTTCACTTGCAGCAGAGGTACCGTTAGCTCCATCACGATGGCCTTGTCCGTACGCAGCCACCGTCTCATTCGCGGCACGCAAGCGTTTTTCGACTGTCGCGGCGGCGCCCGGTATTTTTTCAGCTCACCACCTACAACACAAGGCACGCGAACACGCATATGTTCGTGTTACTCGTCTCATATCGTGTCGCTATCACGGCCTGAGTAATTGCGTCACGCTTTCATTGTCGCCTTTTATTCGGGCGTAGAACAGCCGAGAGAGAAATGAGCCAAAGACGACGAGTCTCCGACTCTGCTTAACGAATTTGTATTTCTCTTCACTTCTCTGTCGTGCGTATCATGAAATTGCGGAATAAAAGAGGAAGGCTCGCGGTGGAAGCTCACCTTCTGTGAGAAAGTCGTCCATGTACGCGGTGAAGTGACGGAGCAACTCGAGCTTCTTCTGCAGCGCCAACGGGATGTCCTTTTCTCTGTGGTACCGCGTCACCTCGTCGTCGGTCGTCATGTACTCCACTCTTCTGCAAAACGAAATTTGAACTATTGTAACGCCAAAGAGATTATTCTCCCGTTGATCGAGCGGGATTCAATTGAAAATAAACTCTTGAGGGATGCTGAAGAATATGTCGGGCTGTGAGGAACCAAAGCACGGACATACATGTGTTATAGGACGATTTTTTAACATTAATATTGTCAGTATTGATTATATCATTGTGGGAGAATTAAATTTTTAATTTAAAACATTTTTTTAATTATAATATATATATGTAGTTATACATTTGAATATATCCTTGAGTTCCAGAAAAATTATTATAAATTTTAATTCCCCTGGAAAACCCTTAACCCCCAGTTGCTAAATTAATTAGTACAGCAATATCTAAATTCACTCATCATATTGCGGGAAATGCAGCCTCACCGATTAATAACTTTTATCAAACCGACACGAGATGAGTTTATTCCCTGAAAATGACTGGAGGAACAACGAGAATGATTTCCGATTCAGTTCGTTGCAACGCAGTTTCTCGAGACTCACCTTCTATCGTGAGTGTAACTGATCTTCGTGTTGTCATTGAAGAGAACACCGACTGACTTGTCGGACAATTGGAAGCCCAGCCCGTACTTGTTCGAGTAGTCGATCCACTTGGTGACGAAAAGCGGCACGATGTCGTCTTCCACAGTTGGCGGGTTGCACGTGTTGTTGCGCTTCATCTCCGTCACGCAGGTCTCCAGAGCGCGATGCATTTGCACACTTTGCGCCACGAGGCCGACCTTCTTGTGATCCGGACAGAGCACGCTGCTGAGCCGTTGCCGGAATCGCGGCAGCTTCGGCAACTTCCTCACGAGCCAGCTGGAAACCTTGGACTCCTTCTGCAGACTCTTCTGCGAGCGATTGAGAAAATGTTGCTGCGGGAATTGCTGTTGCTGTTGCGCTTGTAGCGATTGCTGCTGATAACGCGGTATGTTGGGCGCGTCAGGATGAACGAGACTCTGCTGCCATACCTGTCAACAATTCGGCGCGAAAATTGGTGAAAATACTTTCCGGTCGGATGGTGCGCTGCAAAAAAGGATTCGTCGGAACAGTTCGAGTCGAGCGAGACGAACCCGGGATTGTAAACTATCCGCTGCAGAAGTTCGTTTCGTTTTTCAATCAAAATGCAGGTACAATCTTTAATACTAAGACCTAATAATTTGCGAACAAACTGTCCCGCCTCTCTCGCGCCAAAATTTCCATTGAATCTCCTGTTTGTGTAAAACAAGCTGAAAATTCAGTTCAATGATTTATCTGAGCTTCCATCACAGGCAGAATTATTCGCATCGTGCGGTTAAATCAATCTTATGGTGATTGAAAAAACATCTATACGTCATACATATCATGCATCAGTTTCGTTAATCTTCCACTGTTGATTGCCGTTGACTGAATTTTGCGATTCAAATTTCTCGATTGTCGATCCGACTTGATTTTTGCGAAACTCTGGGAATGAATTCTTTCTACCCTGGATTATTTTTCCATGTGAAGCATCAACGACTAAACGACTTATCGGGGGTCGCTCACCTGCTGCGTTTTGGTGGCCTCTGGCTGGCCCCTGGCGACCGTCGAGACCGAGGATGGCTCGATGATCGACGTCGGTGGCATCCGGTAGCAGCAAGTGTGGGGCAAGGCCGCCGGCACGTATTCCTTGGTGAGGTAAGCGTGCTCCTTCACTCTCTCCAGGCTCGGTCTCAGCTCGGGATTGGATTGCAGCAGCCACCTGATCAGATCCTGGCCGCTCCTGCTCGCGATACTGTCGTCCACCTCGCGGTAATGATTGTTGCAGATCCTCGCGTAAGTCTCCTTGAGCGTGGCGGTGTCGAACGGCGGCTGCCCCACCAGCAGGGCATAAAGTATGCAGCCCAACGCCCAAACATCCGCCTCGTAGCTGTACGCCTGCTTGTACAGCACTTCCGGGGCGATGTAGTTCGGCGTGCCGCATATCGTCCTGCGAATACGCAAACGACACTGCAGTCGATGCGCCGCCGTTTGTGTTTAGACGAGCGTACATCCGTCGGCCGCGCCTAACAATCGTCATCGGGGCGCCGGAAAAAAGGGGATCCCGATGCGCGATGTTTGTGTGTGTTCATTTTCGTCGACGAGGGTAAAGTTAAATTAACGGGTACAGTTAACGAGAACGGAGGATACCAAGAAGGAGTCAGGCGGATGTACAATTATTTCCCCGGTCCCGTTAAGCCCGGGGTCCCGGTGGGAGGAAGATTATCTCTGAATTTCTCGGAGCGGCGTCTCACCGACAACGAGCGAAGCGATAGTGAAAATACCGCCACTCGGAATCGTGAAGAGTGAATGTCTCGAACTCCGAGTGGATTCCGACTCCATACGCGCGGACGTTTCAATCGATCCGAGTGAACGTGAGCGTTGACGAATATGAATACGATGACGAGGTGTGAATATATCCCGATGATGGTGGAGTACATCAGATTCACTCTTCAATTTCGAGTAAAAGTATTCGTCCGATGATTCAGAAATAGAGGAATTCATTCTGTACGAGTGAGAAGCTCGCTCGAATTCGAATCGAGCCCCGGACTTGTCATTGTGTGAGATCTCACTCGAAGAGATTTAGAAAGTTGCGACACTTTTGTCCCGATGAATTTCAAAAGTCATCTGGCATCCGACAGGAGGAGAAGTTGTTGGATTTGGCTTCCGGCTCGCGGCCGTGTTTATCGTGAATTTTTTATAAACTTTCGTTAACAATTCATCAAAGAGAGAAAGAGAGAGAGAGAGAGAGAGAGAGGGAGGGAGGGAGGGTTTTTCTACTGGATGCATTCTGAGTTTCATCGAAGTATCGCAATTTTTCCTCCTCTGACTGTACACTGACTGTGTTTCTTGTTTCTTTTTTTAAACTTTTTTTACAAGCTCTGTCGTTACTTGTAAATGTAACGGATGTATTCTTAATGAACGGGGAACACGAGGCTTGATCCCCGCGGTGTCACAAATTAACGGGCCTTACACTCGCCTACGTTGGCCGTCGGGCCTGGTCGCCAGTCCAAAGTCGCCGATCTTGACGATCATCCGATCCGACAGGAACATGTTGCCCGGCTTCAGGTCCCGGTGGACGACTTTCTGCGAGTGGATGTACGCCACGCCTGTCACCATTTGCTTCATGTAGTAACGCGCTTCCGGTTCCGTGACTTTGCCACGGTACTTCAGCACGTGCATCAAGCTCTGGCGAAGAAGAGACAGAGAATGAACGATCGCTTTTGTATCGGGGATGGTTGACCGCTTCGCCGCATTACAGCGACACGTTCGACGAGCCCTTTCAACGGACTCCGGATGTGAGGAATAACGAGTGTCAAGATGATGGGGTATTAATAGTCGTTACTTGAGACTTGTTACACGTGAGATACTCAGCTATGAATTTAGAGTTAGATTTGAGTTCTTTACTTGAATCATATAATATATGCGGTACATTACATTTCTGTAAGCGCACAATTTAGTGAGAGAAATTCGATCTAACTCTAAATTTACATCTGAACATCTCACCTGAGGCAAGTTTCAACTAATAACTATCAACACAGACTTTATTTTCACGTTCCGCAAGGTTGGGAAATAATGCGTCATTTGTGACTTACTAAGGTAATAGACATTATTTAAAGTCTCGCGTAAGTTATTTAGATCTGAGTATACGCCCATATTAATAGTCGTTGCTTAAAATTTCTCTCATGCGAGATAATCAGATCTGAATTTGGCACTAGATTCGAGTTTTTCGATTCAGTAATATGTAATATTATGTAGTATTATATTTGCAGTCACGATTTCTCTGAAAAAAAAAAAATTCACATCTACCTTTAAACTCAACTCTGAGTATTTCACATGAGAAAAGTAACGACTATTAATACAAACCTAAGTTACCGTTATAAGGTACTCTTTTTCAGCAACGATGACGATGCGATTATTTTTCGTTGGTAACGGTAACGGCAATACAACCAGATTTCTTTTTTTTGGTTAACGGTAACAGATATAAACTTCATTTTCATTGTTCACACGGAGAGAATCCTGCTGTGAATCGATCAACTGCGCCGTGATTGGAGTAAATCTTCTTGCTTCGGCAAGCAACATCGTTGAAATTAATACTTGAGTCAGTGAAACAACGTATGTGATGTATTAGTTCAAATAACATTGCTACCAAATCAAAGATTTGTTTTAATTACGGTGCTGTTGAGCGATTCTATCGGTACATTTAATCCGTGTAAAATACACGTAAAATATATAAAAAATATATAAAAAACTAATAATATAATAATAATGCACATAGGATAGGCAATGACGAATTATAAAGGAAAGATCTTCAAAACTTAATGACAAAAATAACGGAAAAAATTGTAAGGACTTGTTGCTTCCTCCTGGAAGAATAACGGTGCAAAGAATTATTGTTTAAAATCAATAAAATGGCAACGATAAAAACGAATTGCTTCTATCCGATGGACAATAAGTCGCGGCAACGACTTTAAGAAAATAACTCTCTCAACCTTGCGCGTTCACGTCTCGGATGGGGTTTTCTCCCGCGCGTTCGTACTTTATGTTTACACCATCGCCGCGTCCGTATCTTTCGCAGGTGTTGCAACAAATTTCAGTTTATAAGCTCGACGGTATACGCGACAGAAAAATCTCACAAAAGCGACTCTACGCTGCAGCGAGCCGCGGAAGGGCCACCTGTGGCTCTTTTGAAAAGGGAGCAAACGACCGAAAAGAAAGCGTTTCCTGGCGAGGAAATGGTCGGCTCGAATTCGGCGCTCGGATCCTCCGAAAGGTCGTGTTGTTTTCATCCCTTTTGCGGGATGCTATTCACCGTGAGGTCTTTCTTCCTTGCGCGATTCTTCTCGGAGTCACGGCCTTACGCGTGTCTTCGTTCTCGTTACGTATTCATTATTATCACCTACGCCGCAACAGCAACGGCTCTGAACTTCGCTCTATCAATAAAGGAAAAGTTTGCATCTTCAGTAGGACAGGTGGAAATGAAAAATTAACTGATAACTTCCGTCGTGCGAGTGAATTGCCGATGATCCTCGGACGATGATCGAGCCGCGGGCAGAAATGAGAGACTCGCCTCGGTTGCGAAGCTGGCCGAGCGAGGAAGAGCGAGGATAATCAGGCGATTAGTTGATGCTTCGTCGCATCGTAACGGTACAAACAGGTCGGCGGATCAGCCATGAAGAGTGCAAGTGCCGCTCTCCTTTCCGACGAGATGGAAATACGCGGCCGTGTTTGACCGCGCAGGACGCGAACGGACGGACGGACAGGTAGACGCGCGCGATGGGCTTATAATTGTTTCTCGCACACGGCGTGTACAATGCAATTTCAACCGCGACGATTTAGATCACGCAGGTGTTATACGACGGGATACGGACTTGGTGCGCGCGACTCGAATGCGAACGGCTTATGGGAATGACTTATCGGAATGTTGAGGACGCGCGCAACATGGCGAAAAATCAAGTACGGAAACCGCTTCGCTATACCGCGGGATGATTTCAAGTCTACCCTAGAACGGACGTCGGGGGGTTGTACACTGCCCCACCAAATGTTAAATTTTCCGTCTGTGTTTTATCGTTATGGTCGGCGCGTTTCCAGCGTACTGATATTTTTCTTCGGAGCATACTGAAGTATCCCGGATTGTATAAACTTCTGCAAGACGTCTGAAAGACACTCCGCTTAATTTAAACGTCTTTCTAGAGTTTGCGTTATCTGACGTCCTTTATCTAATTTCTTATTCGGTTTTTATGGCGCAGGTAGGTCGACCACACGGAGAAAGATGCTTTCGTATCAATAGAACGAGCATGGGGAAGAAAGGTTTTGCTGGAACGGCAAATTGTTTGTTAATATAGTTGTTAATACATCAGAAAGATTTGTCACGCGGAAGAATTAATTTTGCTATTGTAGTAAAACGCCGTTGCGACGACGATCAAATTTAATTGGCACGACCAAATTGTTTCGCCGTCCATGTATCCGGCAAATGGCAATTAATATTCTTAATGAATCTTCCTGCTGTCACTCTATCAGCAAATAATTTGCCGTTCTAGCGAAATTTGTTTCCTCCGTGGATCAATAGCGCTACAATTGGAATAAATTTTCCCGATTCAACGGCAATTTCGTTGAAACTAATATTCGAGTTACTTAAAAGAATATATAGTGTGTTAGTTTCAATAACGACTGCTGGTGAATCAAGGAGATCTATTCCAATTATAATCAATTCCATTGATACAACAGCGCTTTTCTTTCCGTGTATCCTTTATGCATTCATTTATGAGTGTGGAGGAACAACGTATCCACTTCGGAGGTAACAATAAGCAATTAAACGAATAAACGGGTAAACAATTAGAGATAACAAGCGAAGAATTTCAAAAGGAATGAAGCAAGACGTAACACAATGGAGGAGTCCGTTGAATTTCCGCCTCGCGCGCAGCTGGTATCGTTGCTACGAAAGCGGAAGGCAGAGACACGGGATTTTTCCCCGAACGGGCAGAACGTGTCGTAAGAGATGATAACTGGCCAGGTAAGTGAGAGACGCACGATACCTTACGCGGACAGGCCTCTAGGAGCATGTACACGTTCAGGTTGTCCTCGAAGTAGTGATGCATCTGAACGACGTTCACGTGATTCAGCTCTTTGTGGATCATGATCTCACGCGCGATCTAGGAAGAACAAAGTGGACGTAACGTTTCGGCAAAAAACAAGCGGACGTTTGATAAAACAAATATACCTCACCTTCTGCATGTGGATCTTCTGCATGCGATTCTTCGGGATGATCTTGCACGCGTACTGATTCCCATTATTAACGTCGGTCATCAGGTAAACTCTCGCGAAGCCGCCCTGGAGAATAAGGAAACAAACCGTTCATGTCGATGGTTATATACGTTATAAAAAAAAGATCGGTCGAAACGATTAGAATTTGATTAAACGAACTCAATTTCGCGATTGTATATCGCGAATCGGACGTATATCATACATACGTACGATTATGTTTTAGTTTTGTTAATATTTCACCGTTGATGAAATTTTGTAACCTTAATTCCTACGTCAGATTGTTGATCTGATGCGATTTTTCTTCAATTCCGTTCGACTAAAAAATTTATTCAACGAAATTTACACAATTCTGAGAATCTGTTCTACCTATCCGATTTTCTCCTTCAACGTACAATTGGATCTCGATTTCGTTAATCTTTCACTGTCGACTAAATTTTATACTTCCAATTCCAACACCGGGTCGCTGATCCGGCTCGATTTTCCTTCAATTTCACTCGATTGAAGTTTACGTAATATTATAACTTAGTTCTCTCAGTCCGATTTACTTTCAACTTGCGTTTCGGTTTCTTTAACCTTTCACTCTTGGCTAAATTTGGCACAATTTCTAAGTGAGATTGCTGAGCCAGCTTAATTTTTACTCCTTTAGCGGCTAGATTGCCTCTGGTTGACGGTCCCGGCGATTTCACGCTATTTTCGAGCGTGATGGTAACGTAAGTGGAACGACGCGTGACTTTTTGGTCGAAATCTTTAATGAAACGACATTGCGACTCGTCCCGGCGAAAATAAAAAAAAAAAAGAAGAAGAAGCGTCCCTCTTCCGAGTCTTACAAATCCGACTCTGCTAGATTCCCAACGGGGAATTTCTCCTCGATCAACCGTTGAGAGACCTCGTCGCAGTGAAAGGTTTTCACCACCGGCGCTTTCGGTCTTAAAGTAATCTTCTGAAATTATCGTTTATTGCCCATACCGCAGTCGGAGGAACGACGGAAGAAAGCGAGGTAAATTGCTTTTTACAGAACAACCTCGTGGCTTTTGGTGATCGCGGGAGGTTTCTAGACGACGCTCACGGCGAAGGCGACGATTCGTAAACAAAAGGAAGGAAAGCTACGAGACGAGAGATAGAGAGAGATGCGATTCTCACAGATTTACGGCGACTCAAAGCTCGTAACGCGCGGCGCTGGCAGCGTTGGAACACAACATTCGCCATTCGCGACAAATGACGGCGAATTCGCCCACGAGGGCTTGGAAATTGCATCGTAAAGAATCGTAGAATCGTGAACACGGGGACCGGTCATCGCTTTTCCGGTGTCGTCGAGAGTCGACGAGGCCCCGGGCGGATGCGGGGATTATCCCGTGCGAGCGCGATCTCACCGCGGGGAAAGGGTGTCCGAACGGGCTCGTCGCCAGAATAACTCGCTCGAAAATATCCCACGCCGTGTTACGAAAACGTGTAACTTGTCGCGACGATAACGTCACGCGATTGGAATTACCTCGCACGCGGCGCGACGCGGAGCCAAAGGACCGTTCATGCGTGCGTGCGTACATATGTACCCCACATTCGGCGCTAAATGCGTTCCCGTCGATCCGTCCGGATTCGCGATAACACTCCGAGAGCCGTGATCCTCCAATTTATTGGGCAAGCGGAATGCGGACTAACCTTTGCCGCGTCGGACACTACGTGTACAGTGCATACGTGATAGGGTGACTTTCGAAAGGCTGAACGATTTTTAATCACTGAAATTATCTCCGCGGGAAGCAGAGTGAGAAAGCTGATAAGAGGAACGGAAATTCGCTTAGTCCCGAATTTCTGCATATCGTGAAGATTTTCCGTATTTGGATAAAATTACCGTAAAATTTGCCGGACGTTACTATAATATAGGATAGGTAAGATAACTTTCACGAATGGTTAAAAATTGTACAAACCCGGAATTAGTTTCGTGGGTGAAGTGAAGCGAAATGGTTGATAACACAATAAAGGAGACGCTTCGTCTAAAATTTCTACTATTATATCGCCAAATTCGTCTATATTTAAATAAAATTATGCAACATTATAATATACCACTGTGTATATACTGCAAAAAGATTTAAAAATAAATAAAATAATTATGCGATGAGTTTTAAGAAATGTATATTTTCTTATTTGGAAAAAAACTTTTTTTTTTCAGTACAAAAACATATATATTAGTACGAGTAAATGTGTTATTAGAATCCACCGCAAATTTAAGTATTTGTTATGCTTTAAATATCTTTTCTTTAAGTGTGCGTATATATATATATAGTGAATAAAATAAGATATAGTTTTCGAATGGTTTAAAATTGTTCAATCTTTGAATCATTACTTCAGGACAGGTTAACAAGAGTGAAAGGAATCCGCTTTATATTCCAAATTTCCATCAACAGTCAAACTTTTCTCTATTGGAACATCAAAATTATACAAGCTCATCTCCGATTTACGTAGGAGCATACTTCTGAAAAATATAACGTATAACCGCATTCAGCGAGTGATAACTGGCAAAAACAGTTGGATTTACGCGGGGGAAAGAAGCCAGACGGAAGATCGAAAGATTAAAACTTGATACAAAATGCGAAGCTTCGAAATTAGTCGGGCGCCGAAGCGGCCGCGCGGCTCGAGTATCGCAGGTATCTCGGTCCCCACGATGTTTCGGCGATAACCCGTCGTGAATACCTGGTGTGCATCGGCCAACACACACGGTGCGGTACCGAGAGGAGGCCGTGTACGGTTATGGCGAAGCGGTTCGTTTATTTTTAAATACCGCCGCGGCGGTGACTAAAAATACATTCCCCGCGCGTGCACGCGCTTTGTGCACGCGCGGTTAAATGGACTGTTGACAAAAACCCCGAGCCTTGTCCCCATTTTGCGTTCGCTTCTTCGGGGTGGACCGTACGCACGCACGCACGTACACGCACTGGTCGGAATTAGCGCGGTCGTGGTCGAAGAAAGAGAGCCAAACGAAGAGAACTTCCGACCATTCTCATTCTTTCCGCTACGTGTAATCGGGTAACCGCCTCCTTCGCTTTTATTTCGATCGTTTTACAAAATGCCCTCCNCCCCCCCCCCCCCTCTCTCTCTCTCTCTCTCTTTATCTAGATGAGAAAAGCGCGCTAACTATGGAACTGCTTTCTCTCGCACGGCCCTTAGTTCGATGGCCATTTTACTTTTTTCTTCAATTAAAATCACAAATTAGACCAGTTGATTACGTCGACGCTTTAATTCAATCTCGCCTGATTAATGAGAGAATAATTATAAGCCTCCTGGGAAAAGAATTATAAAGTAATTTGAAACAAGAATAAGAATTATACAGGCAGTTCCTCGCTTAGTCTTTCATTTCTCACCCTTCCTCTCAATCCAGGTACAAGAGCGGTCGTGTTTGAAAAATCATCGTCATTATTCATTAATCGTTGAAACGAACCCATTACAAGACCAAAATGTACGTTTGGCTTAATTTTTATTCCATCGATAATTTGGTATTATTGTGCGAGTAGATTAATTTTTGCGCATCAACATCAACCGTGCCGGCTTCCATTCGTATTTTTTACCCTACCTTGTCATTTGTCAAAAATATTCGAGCCAAATCCTTTCCCAGGCACGAAGCTTTCGAAAACTCATTCTCTTCTTTTTACCTGCAGATAAGCCGAAGTTTATAGTGTTATTATTTGTTCACCTGTTAGGCCGAATCTTAGTGTGTCATTGTCTTATCGGTATCGATCCTTCTATCGATCGAAGGTCGTAAAACTGTTTGGCGTCTCCGGCTCGCGACGGGGGCTTCGCTCACCCGTGATTTCGGCAATCTCCCTCTTTTTACCTCGCCGTCAGATATTCATGGCGCGATGCGCCGCGACTTCGTACAGCTCGCGCCACTCGGATCGACTTATTATTATTAATCAACGGCGTGCGCGCGCGCGCGCGCGCGCTCGACGAGGTCGATTAATATGCGAGAGCTTCGTTACACCCGATAGCACCGATGTCGGGGATTCGGGGATTCTGTCTCGCGCGAACCGGGGAAGGACAGCGATCCGTTAACTCCTCACTCGACTTCCCCGGCGGTCAACTTGTCAAGAGTCCCCTCGCCGTCGCATCTCGTGTCCGTTTAGCGAGTCTCGTTGCTTGCCCCGCCGGCGGGAACGCCGAAAGGAGCCCTCGGGGGGCTCTTCGACGTGACGTCCGCGTTCGCGTTCTGTGTACAGCGCGAGTGCGAGAGTGTACCGCGAAGTGATATTAAATATAGGAAATGAAACCGTCCGACTCTCAAGATTCTGCGACGACGCTTCTCGTTCTCGGACCCGCACAAGGAGGCGTTGCCTCTCAAGAGCGACGAACGAGAACCGATTAAGTCAAACGTACGGATCTTCCTTGATTGCAACGGGAGGTTCGATTTTCATTTTTACGAGGCTTTTTATGTCAGCTGGGATTCTCGAAATAAATATCAATGTTCGGTATGTTTGAAATTTACGATATTTAGGGTCTGGATATTATTTACACAGTAAAAAATTTTGTGTAAGCAACGGTCCACTGAAATTCTTGCGTTACTTTAACACGGGGATATGTTAAAAAGTACACAAGTATATGTTAAATTAATATGTCCACCTTGTTAAAACCTTGTTAACACAAGAATTTCAGCGGACAACTATTTACACAAAACTTTTTCGTTGTATAGAGGAAAGTTGCCTAATGTGTACTTGTCATTTAAATCGTACCTCATTATCGCTTTTATAATTATTGAATGTAAATGCGATCTAGTAGTATAAAAATATATAAACTAAATGAGCGATGAAGACATGACACAAACTTGAACGAATTACACTGTGTTTTCTGTGTGATTTGAAAAATACCTCAAGTATTAGTACGATTTTCACAATTCTTCCTTATTTATTCGGATGTCCGCGGGAGAAAGAAAAACTTAGTTCCCGCGACTGAATAGGAATCAGATAAAAATTCGGTGACACGTAAGAAACGATATATAATACATCCCTGTTGCCGCGACTGAGAACATTCATATGAACATTCAGCCGCGTTAAAACTCGGTCGAGGCAACTGAGAGCGATTGA